ATAAATAAATAAATAAATAAATAAATAGATAGATAGATAGATAGATAGATAGATTGATTGATTGATTGATTGATTGATTGATTGATTGATTGATTGATTGATTGATTGATTATCTAATGCGACTTAGACACGGAATGCTGTTACCTTCCCACCGAGGTGGTCCCTATTTATCTACTTGCATTTGCATGCTTTTGAACCGCTAGGTTGGCGGGAGCTGGGACAAGCGATGGGCACTCACTCCGTCACGTGGATTCGATCTTACAGCTGAAGATCTACAGATCTTACAGCACAGAGGCTTCTGCGGTTTAACCCGCAGCACCACCACGTCCCAATTCTGTGCTAGGTATCATTAAAAAGGGGATTGAAAATAAAATTAATTAGCCCTCTTCACTGCTGCTGCACACTGGGTTGACCCTTTCATTGAGCTGCCCACCAGCACACCAAGATCTCTCCTAATCTGTCACAAACATCTCAGAACCCACTGGCTGATAAAGTTTTGATTTTTTTTTGCCCCAATGTGCATTACTTTACATTTTCTTATACTGAAACACATTTACTATTTTGCCGCCCATTCTCCCAGTGTGGAGAGATCGTTCTGGAGCTCTTCACAATCCCTTCTGGTCTTCACCACCCAGAAAAGTTTTGTGTCATCTGCAAACTTGGCCACCTCACTACTTATCTCTGTCTCCAGGTCATTGAGGAACAGGTTGAAAAGCACGGGTCCCAGGACAGATCCCTGGGGCACACTGCCTCTCACCTTTCTCTGTGTTTCCTGATTCTCAGACAATTCTTAGTCTATAAGAGGACCTGCCCTCTTATCCCCTGTGGAGTTTTCTCAGCAGCCTTTGGTGAGGGACCACATCAAACACTTTCTGAAAATCCAGATAGACTATATCCACTGGTTTGCCCACATCCATATGCCTGTTGATCTTTTCAAAGAATTCTAAAAGAATTGTGATGCAAGATTTACCCTTATAGAAGCCATGCTGATTTTCCCTCAGCAAGGCATGTTCTTGGATGAGGCTTTCCACCATCTTCCCTGGAACAGACGTTAGGCTAACCGGCCTGTAGTCTCCCCCTCCTTCCCTTTTCACAGATTAGCATGACATGTGCTATCCTCCAGTCCTCTGGCACTGTGGCCGTTTTAAGGGACAAGTTGTATATTTTAGTTAAAAGATCAGCAACTTCATTCCTCTAACAAATTTTTAAAAGTTTTTATTATTTCCTTTTATATTGCTGGCCATACATTCGTCAAAGTCTTTTGTTGCCTTCCATATCATCTTTATATATTTCTTTTTCCAGAGTTTGTGTTCCTTTTTATTTTCCTCATTTGGGAAGGATTTCTATTTATGGAAGAAGCCCTCATTGTTCTTTAAAGCCTCTCTAACTCTGCCCATTAACTATACCAGCACCCTCTTGAACTTAGTTGAGCCCTTCTTTCTTTGTGGTATACACTTCTGCTGGGCCTGTACTTCTGTTTTTTTAAACAGGCTCCACACACCCTGGAGAGATTGGATTCTTTTTACCTTCCCTTTCAACTTCTTTCTAACTAGTTTCCTCATCTGAGGAAAGTCCGCTCTTCAGAAATCAAGGGTATTTGTGTCACATGGCAAAAGATATCACAGCATGGTCACTATTCCCTAGCAGCTCCCTAACCAGGTCCTGAGTACCACACAATATTAAATCCAGAGTCACCTGTCCTCTCCCTCTCTCCATGACAAGTTGCTCAAGGCACAGTTATTTAGCACGGGAAGAAATCTGGTCTCTCTTTCTTGACCTGAACATGCATTGACCCAGTCAATGTGAGGATAATTGAAGTCCCCCATGATTACAATCCTGTCCCTCTTGGACACCTCCCTGATTTATCTCCTCATTTCAAGGTCCCCCTCAAGTTTTTTATCTGGAGGCTGATAGCACACCTCCACTATCACATCACTCCTTGGGCCTGGTCGTTTAACCCACAGTGATTCTATGGTAGAGTATTGGAACGGTGGCTGCAGGTTGAAAAGTCTGTAGGTCGACTCTCCATTGACCTACAATGCATTGAAAACCGATTAATCCTGTAACCAGCTGTTTTAGTTCCGTTTTTGTTCTTTTTTGGTTTTTTTCTGGTCTGTAGGTCGATTCTCCGGCTGCAAGTTGAACCTAAATTTTGCAGCCAGAGAAGTCTGTAACTCAAAAAGTCTGTAAGTCAAGGGTCCACTGTATTGTTATGCCACATTTCTCCCAACAAGGGATCCAAAGCAGCTCATAACATTAAAATTCACACAATTTTAAAAACACAGTAAGTTAAGTATTAAAAGATAAATTTGACAATATATGATTTAAAAATTAAATTAAAAGATTAGAACATTAAAAAAATATGTTAAGCCAAGACTCCTGCCAGCAAAAGCTTATCTTTTGCACCATAACAATAGTTGTTCTGTAATGTCTTAGTTGATCCATGGAGACTCCCAAACCACTGCTAGCAGCCTAAAACAATGATATCCCACTTCAAGGACATAAAGCCATACACTGACTGACAATCTCTTATTTGCTCTTAATAAGGATGGTTTGTGGAATGAGCAAGGGATTCCTCTCCCCCCCCCAAACTTTCAGGGTGCACATAGAGCATTGTGTATTTTTTTTAAAGGTGAATAAGGGGAGACATAACAGAAAAAAATTAAAATGTACATCATGTGGATAAACATGTTTCTGCCCCCACCTCTCATTGTAAGCACAGTTACGGCACATCAGACTTCATTTGGATTAGACATTTCAAGAAAGAGTGTAAAGAGATGTAGCATGGTGGCAATTCAATGTATCTTACAATGTCTAGGTTTTTTTCTGTTATTAATACAATTTCCAGAGATGTAAGAAATATATATCAGAACAGCCTATGCATTTTTCAAGAGTAAGAGAATGGCTAGACTAAGAAAATTTACACATTAGCCACACAGAACGAAGATGGGCTGTGTGGGGATAAGTGACCCAAATCCTGTTGAATAAAGTATTCTGGCATAAGGGAGATAATCTCATCCAGGAAACAAAATAGCTGACAACTAAAGGGTTTCTGTTTCAACCCCAAGTCTGAAATAGCTCACTTTGTGTGTGAGTCATATGAGCCCCAGGATGTTAGTAGAAATGCCTTAATTACCAGCAGTCTGCTTTGCTGGTAGCAGCATTTTCCCACAAATTAAATTAAGTTCCTGTTTCCATACCAGAGCTTGCACAGCTTGTGTACAATGAGACTGATTATGCATGACATGTGCAACCTCAAAATAGAAGCAAAGTTATTTCACCTGCTGGATATTGTCATATTACTTACACTGTTGTACTGTACTCAACAGGATTTTGACCAGTGTTTTTCAAATGTAAGGTCCTGAGCCAGAACAGGTTTTGGAGCTTGTCTTCAAAACTGCAGTTTCTATACAGCAGTGCTTACCTGAAACCATGACATCAAAGGAAACAGATTCATCTTTGGTCTCACAGATGTATTCACCTGCATCTTCAGCACTTGTTTGCAGGATAACCAGGTGATGATGAGCACCATCCGTCTGAAGCAAAAGGTTGGGTGTCTCATCTACCTCCAGGCCATCTTTGAACCAGCGTACTGTGGCATCAGGGATGGATACCTCACAGCTCAGCTCCAAGCGTTCAAATGCCCACACATGCCTTTCCAATGAACGTTCCACAGGGTGTAAAATCTGTACTGGGGGTTCTACCAGACAGATACAAGAGAGAAACATAAGAGAGCCCATCCCTCTTATCTGCATCTTCAGCAGAGCCTTAAGGCCCATTGCCTGCATTCAACTACTGAAACCATTCTTGTAAACCCTGGGCCTCTCCCAGACTCCCACCTTTGAGTCTTGGCCAATGGAAAACAGACACCAGACTCTGCCTAGTTGCCCGTTCAAAAGCAAAACAACTTCCACGTGGTTGTCTGAATTTCAATAAACAACACAAAAGGGTGGCTCTTATGAAGCTCTGAACTCATTAAATTACATGTCTACCATCCATCCATCCATCCATCCATCCATCCATCCATCCATCCATCCATCCATCCATCCATTTAAATTAATAAGCCTCTTAACAGCATATTCTTAGAAAGCTGCTGCTTCTGGGAAAAGCAGCTTCAGGAGAGGACTATTTTCCACAGAACTGCAGTCAGTAATATCCACTTACTGCTTTCCTGTTTCAGTTCCTCCTTTGTAGGATTTCTGATTTATGCTTGCAAAGCTAAACATGCATCTGAACATCCTAAAGTGCATAATGGGTACAGGGAGAGACAGCAGGGGAGCACTGGTGGAAAAGGACATTATCCTGACACTATTGCTTCCCCATTAAAAATTATCCTCTCCCAAGATTTCTCTTCCCTAAGAGAAACAGCCCTTGTCTGGATTTAAATCAGAGTTGGGTAATGTTTGGCCCTCCAACATTACATCGCACTGAAATTCCTGCTAGCTCCAGCCAGAATAAAAATTAGTGAGGAAAAAAGTCAGCATGGCTCATGGACAGAGACAGAGTAGGGCCTCACTCCAAAATTTTAGGGATGATACTCCTACACCCATCATGAGTTGCTTATGAGACTATGGGAGGTGCCGTCCAACAACACCTGGAGGGCCACAAGTTGCCCACTCCTACTTTTTAAACCATGGGTTGATGTGTAATCGGTCTGACCTTTTAAAAGCCCCTTCTGGTGTCTCCCCAAGCCCTATCAGAGAGATTCCCTTTATTCTTTTATCTCTTCAGAGGTAACTAAATTTGAGCCTTGTTGACATACAGATAATCCCAAAAAACTGAATGTCGCTTCTTCCTGTCTTCTGTTTGAGATCACTCAGATCCACCATGCTCTGTAGAGCTCAGAAGCAGGACGGAATTGCCTGGAACCAAAGATCCCAAATCTGGCATTCTCTAATTAGATAATGAGCATCTTGACAGTAGACAGAGGCAGCAACCCATAGCTACAACATGAAAGGGACTGTTGGAGTTAAACGTGGCATAAAATGTACTTCAAGGGGCTGAATCTCACGCAATTATTTACCTTTGATGGTGATATTGAAAAAGATAGAGTCGGCACCAGTGTCACACACAAACTCCCCTGTGTCTTGAGCCTGGGCAGCAACAATAATGAGACGGCGATGAGGCCCTTCATTCTCCAGCAGAAGACCATCATTTTCCTCCACTTCTTCCCCATCCTTGTACCAGCACACAGCAGCATCCATGCAGGACAACTCACAAGCCATCACCACACGCTCTGAGACTTGATAGATATGAGGGGCATCTGCATTAGAGGACACCACTCGAACAGGGGGCTCTGTAGGAGTAAAGCAGTAATAGCATAGACAGTGGCCATCACTTCCAACACAAGGTCTGTAGTGGGGGAGAAGGAAAAGGAAGGGGGTCTTGTTGCTGTGTAATTCATTAGCTCTGGCTAGAGAACAAAAAGAGAGGGAGAGAGTGCTGAATTTTTGAGAAGACTAGAGGAGGTCAGATAGATATGATCCTTAGAAATTAGCTACAAAAACATTTGAAGAGTCAGTAGAAGTAAGAGAGAAAATGCTGATTTCAAACAGACAAGATAGGTCCAAGTTCTAAAACAACAACAACAACAATATACCATCAAGTAGATTCTGACTGATGGAAACCCTTTTCAAGATTTTATATATCCAGAAATGGTTTCCCACTCTCTTCTTCTGGATGTGCTCTGGAACCATGCAGCTTGCTCAAGGCAACATAGACTGCCTGTCCTCCTACAAGGCACAATGGGGAATCCAACCCCAAACCTCTGGTTCCATTGTCAGGTAGCCAGCTCATTAAACTATATAGCTAGCCTCCCTAAGAAATTAATGATGAGAAAATACTTCTGTTCTGAGATGCTGCCTCTCCAGCTCCAGAGTTTTTCCAGTTGGGAGCAGCTCACTAGGTCTTTCCAAGATAGCCCTTTCCAACCTGGTGCCCCCATATGTGCTGGGCAAGCATGATGGGATCTTAATCCAACACATCTGGAGGACACAATTTTGGAGAAAGCTGGTCCAGCAATTTGCTAATTCACATCCTTCCGTCCCTTTGCATCAACTTACCATCCACTGTCACAGTAAAGTTGACATTGTCATCAATTGCATTGCATGTATATATCCCAGAGTCCAGAGGGCAAGCTGAATGGATCAAGAGCCTCCGAATGCAGCCTTCTGATTGGACAGTGAGGTTGTTATCATCCAAGACAAGAGTCTGTCCATCCTTGAGCCAATGGACAGGAGCATCAGGAGCAGAAACCTCACACTCAAGGAGGAGAGGCATCCCAGTCAAGATCTTCTGGAGACATTGGGACTCTGACATTGGGGTGATGTGCACCTTGGGAGCTAAAGAGATAGACACTGTGAATGGTCAACAGCACCTCTGGCCTCCTGTAGTCAGGTGAAGTAGGACCTAGCCCTCACATAGGTTTACAGAAAATCCATGCTATTAGGAGAGAATGGCTGAAATCCTATACGAGAAATTCACATCTGAGCTTAACATCAACCACAGTAACCAAAGGTTTCTTATCCCCTATCTAGGTTCCTAGGCTACCTTAGGATCCCTCTCGGCATGGGAAAGCATTTGGGGGCTGTGGGAGGGGGTTAGTCCTAAATGTCTTTAAACTGTCACCACGGAGGAAAGCAGCAGCTAATTTCAGACATTTACAGTAAGTCTCCCCACCCTTGTAATATAGCCCACAAAGGCTTCCCCAGGACCAATGGGATCCTAAGGAAGTCCAGAAACCTTATAGATAATATAAAGTTATCCCCTTGGATAAGAAATGAGGTAATCTTTGATTAAATCATCAAATTTTACATTACTGGAATTCAGTCAACGTGTTTCTTGCACTTTTAACCATTCTTACTCTAACTTCTTCTAACAGGTGTAGGGAACTTGTGCCTCCCAATATTGCTGAACTACAGCTCCCATTTATTCCTGATGACTAGCCATGCTGACCAGGCAAATGAGGGTCACAGTCCACGTTCAGTGGCATGCTATTTTTCAAGAGCTGCTCCCCAAAATTTAAAACAGAACTCTGGCAAGAAACACAAATAAAATGGGGAGGGATCTTAATACCAAACTAGTTTGATTGGCACTTTTTGTTTCCAAGTAAACAGTAAATAAGATAGCTAATGGGGAACAGTAACAACAGCATCTACATTATGGTGGTGTTGCCTAAATAGTGGCTTTCAAATGAGAGCAGAAAAGAAATATGTGCTTTCCTCGCCCCCCTCCCCATTTCTTTCTTGGTGGGTTCAACATATGCCAGACACACAGTTGAAATCCAACATGTCTCAAGTTACAGCAGTTGGTAATGCTGGATCAAGAGTTTTCTTTGAATTGTGTCTTGGAAAGGATCCAGAGCTGAACTCAGTTCCCTAGTGAGACGCTTATTGAAGAAATCATGAATCCAACAGGCAACCAAAGAAGCTTTAATTAACTTTACTGAGAAGTTAAAATGAAAGCACAATGTGTAATTGAATAGCTATTGAATGAAGAATTGATATTCAGAGTGGTATGCAGAAGGTAATTCAATTTAGAATTGGCCATAATAACTTTTAGGTGAGTTGTAATTCTCTTCCCTGACTTGATAGCCCAATGGGAAATGTTTTGCTCTGATCGTTATTTTAGATTTTGCTTTTATTCTTTATTATAGCTATCAGTTGTTTGCCACATATATTCATTATAACTATTATGGATGTGGGTGTGAATGAAAACTTTGAAAAACTGGCAAGGAAGATGTCATCAATCAGCATATTGCTATGGCTTCATTAATGTTTCTAGAGCATGCTTAACCCATCCAATAGCTATGGAAGAGGATGAGTTCCCACCAGTCTCCATAAAGCTCTGGGAAACACAGTCTCCTAAAATCATCAAAGATTTCACATCTCCTTCTCTCCTTGACCTTTCAATCTTATTTAAGGGACAAATAGTCAGGTGGTTCTGAGATATCATTTGGCTGTCAGGACATTTTGCCACTTTGAAAGTTTGTTGCTATTATGTGTCATCAATTCACTTGTGAGCCACAATGACCCTATAAATAAATGATTTCCAAAAGGTCCTATCATTAATAGCCCTGCTCATGTCTTGCAAGCTAAAGGCCTGGCTTCCTATATTCAATCCATTTACCTCAACTTACACCATCTTCTTTTCCTTCTGCCTTCAGCTTTTCCTAATACTATTGACTTTTCCAATGGGTTTTGTATTTCAGGCTTGATTTATCTAGAATCCAGCTATTATTAATTTTTTTACCAATTGATGGTATCCATAAAGATCTCCTGCAACAGTTTTTCCAATGAATAGATTTTTTCCCCTCTCACATTTCTTTAATGGCTGGAATCCTATTGCTTGTAAGTTTTATACAACTTACCATAGGTAATTATGGCTAATTGATGAGGTGCTGGGGCACACTTTGGTTACACAGTTGCATCTGTGACCAGACACATGATCAAGACATGTCCTGGCACTTCATCAATAAACCGAAATTAGCTGTGGCCAGTATTGTGCAACTGGGCATGCAACAGATAACGTCTATAGAGATTTCTCAACTTACAGTAATTAACCTCTAAATTACATGATTTGCATAACTGTGCAACAAGATTTCAACCAATTACATTTAGAGTCCATTCCAGTTCTACAAATTCATGATTCATCTACAGTGTGAGCATCTTCATTTAGACTCAAGCCAAGTCTGTGTTGTTGCAGTAACTGCTTTACATTGCATTTTCACAAAGTCGGACAGGTTTACTAATATAGTTTTCTAGCAGTAAGGAGTTACTATGCAGACACAGAATAATAATCATGTGCTACCAAGTTGTTTTCAACTTTTGTTAAACCTTGCCAGGATATCCCAAGCATAACACTCTAAAACGGTGAAACTCACCCAAGGCTACACACATGCGGTGCAGAAAAATGGAGAAAGGAGGAGGAAAGGAGTGTGGGTCCTTGATGAACCTGGAAGCTTGCAACATAATTTGATTTTGTTGAGGGAAACCAAAATCCCAGAAATCAGCAGAGGGAGAGTTTCAGGCTGTCCTCATGCACACTGACTTAGAGAGAGTTGCAACTGCTGCAGCAACTCACCTAGTTACTAAAAATACAGCCATTTTTACAATATATATTACAAATATGTAGTATGCTGCAGAAGGACCATGGTGGGCAGTAAATTATATTGTGGGACCAAACTGGGGGGGAGGGGGCTCATCTGAACATTTTACAGTGGCATCCACCATTAAATCACAAGCAGCCTATGAATTATATATACATGCATTATATATCCATGGCAATCTAATAGAATTGGAGAAGCTGTGCCCTCCCTCCTGATGCTGATGGACAACTACTACTCCCATTAACTAGACAGGCTGGGGATGGATGGGGACTGGAAAGCCATGTTCCTGCTCACTCCCTGAGTTCTCTGGGTATCTCATAACCCACAAGGAGTCACAGAGGAAGGATAAGAAATACAGTATTACAAATGTGTGGCCTTCTCAGCCACACTAGATGCTGTTCCAAGACCTCTATTCAGAGCACGTTACCATAGTCTCTCGAGACTGAAGGATGCCTACGTTAAAAATATGATTGCTTTTATTTTGTTTCTTAATTCCATTTTCTTCTGAACATCTATTTGTCTTTCAATATATATTCAATTACACATTATACTTTCATTTAAACTTTCATTTAAACTTGTTATCAAATATTGTTTAAATATCTCCAGTTGTCCCTCCAACTCTTACATAACTCATGGAGAACCAATGTTAGCTTATGTCCCTTCCCACTTTCCAAGACAGAAGACAATTACCACAGATCTGAATCCAGCCCTATCAAGTTATACCTTCAAAAATATGGAGGACGCAGCTATTCTCATCTGCTGGCTTAAGCACTATCCACTGGAAGGATGACTGTAAGCTCAGTGCAGAGCATGGAAAAGTTGCTTCTCATGACTACAGCTCCCAGACTAGGCAAAAATAACCTTCCCAATAGCAATTCAAGCAAACCGCTCAAGTCTCCACACAGGTTTCTCTCAAATCATACAGAGAGTGTCTGCTTGGCAATGTAAATAATACTGGCTTAACATTGTTAGTTCTAACACTGAGCTATATAGACAATATTGGACCCAACTGACAAACGATTTGACTTGGTATAAAGCAGCTTCTTATGTGAGAAAGAAAAATATTCAGAAGTTGTGGCACAATAAAGGCCCCCATTGGCATAGTCCTGCCACAAGGCCAACTGCACCCACCCCTTGGGCATGCCAAATTCATACTAATCAGAAGAGAAGACGGGTCTTTGGCCAACACAGTAAGACAGACCATGCAAGTTGAGCCCAGTAAGACAAGCTCTTGGCAAAGTCCCCCGCCCCCTCAAGCTAAATCTAGGAACAGAGGAAGCGGTCTCATGCCAGGTTAAAGGTCTTTCTACAGTGAATCTAACACTTTTCTACATCCACTGGCAAAGGCCTGATACTGTTCTTCAAGTGGGAATGAAAGGAAATCTCTAATACCGTACCTTACAAAGGCTAGGAATGCAACTGGTTCCTTACTTGTGCTTGTGGTTCTTCCACTGGTCTGTGAACTCAAACACATGAGGTTACATTACTCACCTGCAATAGTCACTGTAAAGAAGGCAGAGTCACTGCCACTGTCACAGACAAACTCCCCTGTGTCTTGCACACATGCTGAGGAAAGGATGAGCCGTCGGTGAGGGCCGTCACTCTCTAATAACAAGCCTTCACCGTCTTCCACTTCCTCGCCATCCTTGTACCAGCGGACAGGAGCACTGGGGCAGGACACGACGCAGAACAGAACCACACGATCTGAGGTCTGGTAAGTGTGAGCCATGTCTGCATTGGAGTGCACTATCTGTACCGGTGGTTCTGCAGAGTGTGAGAAGAAGAGAGGAATTATTACCTTTTTGCTCCAAAAACACATTAGGGCTTATTTTCAGGGGATGTTTTATTTTTTTCATGTACAACAATCTATGTTTATTCAAATACAGTCATGTCATCTTCTTCTGGTTGCTGCACAATGGTGGAGGGCAGGGTTTCACTTAACTAAGGCATATTTTGGGGGGTAGGGCTTATATTACGAGCATCCTGCAAAAACATACTAGGACTTATTTTCAGGTTACGTAGGTCTTATTTTAGGGGAAACAGGGTAGTAGACCAGGAGCCAAGGGCACGAGGCTGGGGATCAGAGGTCAAGGAACTTTATTGATTGTAATACTTCCTAAGGAAAAACAAAGTGTCAAAAACTGAGGGTTTTGAAGGTATCAATGCATTAGGAGAAATGTAAGTGTTGGGAAGAGTCCTTGTGTGCCTGTGTGTCAGAAAGAGATAAATATTACAGGGAACACTTACTCTCTTTTTCTTAAAATTTGAAGTTTAGAGGGCTCTGCAGCAAACCTGAGAGAGGTTTTTTCAGATAGCAACTCCTCAGTCGGTACAGCTGGGGGATTCTGGAAGTTGTAGTTCAAAAAAGGAACTTTTCTGAGCATTGCTCTGCTTACATAGAGAGGCAGCAGGAGATTTAAGGGGGCCAGATCAATTAATTCTCTTACCTGTGACAGTGATGTTGAAGAAAGCAGAATCACCACCGGCGTCACACACAAACTCCCCAGAATCCTGCACCTGAGCTGAAGGGATGATCAGCCTACAGTGTGGCCCCTCACTCTCCAACAAGAGGCTCTCGCTTTCTTCCACCTCTTCCCCATCCTTGTACCAGCACACAGGAGCATCGGGGCGAGACAGCTCACAAGAGAGCACCACACGGTCTGCCACCTGATACACATGGGCCTCTTCCGCACTGGAGTGTAGAATCCTTATCGGAGGCTCTGTGAATTGTCATCAGTAGAAATAGGCTTCAGAAACACGCTCGACACCCAGATCTTGGGAAACAGAATGGAACCAGTTGAGAGATTTGACACCAGGGCAGTAGTGTGGAGCCAGAGCTCGGGAAAGTTGCTTTCTTGGATGATAACTCCTGATACCTCCTGGCCAGTGGATCTGGATGAAGCCCTATTTTATTTCCACCATCCAGATACTGGATAGATACTGAGGGCAATGATCAGCAACTGACCTAAAATGGCAGGATCTACCCGCTACACCTGAGGATGTTGTGCATTATGGTTCAGATATTCTTAGAAAACAGATAAATTTGAAGTGCTGGGACAAAACCTGGTGATTAAGAAAGGTGCAAATATTTAAGAGATTTGCAGTTGCTTGAGAACAAGCATTAGGTTTTTCAAGCATTAGTCTTACACTATTTAAAATAGAGGGACGTGATGGTGCTGCAGGTTAAACCGCAGAAGTCTCTGTGCTGTAAGGTCTATAGATCTGCAGCTGTAAGATCGAATCCACTGACGGAGTGAGCACCCGTCGCTTGTCCCAGCTCTCGCCAAACTAGCGGTTCGAAAGCATGCAAATGCGAGTAGATAAATAGGGACCACCTCAGTGGGAAGGTAACAGCGTTCCGTGTCTAAGTCACACTGGCCATGTGACCACGAAAGATTGTCTTCAGAGAAGTGCTAGCTCTATGACTTGGAAACGGGGATGAGCACTGCCCCCAAGAGTCGAACACAACTGGACAAAAATTGTCAAGGGGAACCTTTACCTTTACCTATTTACAATTAAATGAAATTCCCAGGCAGTAGTGTCTACTTTCAGGAAAGATAAGAGACTAACCAACTGGGATTCCCCCCACCTCCACCCCCAGATTCACCCATATTTAAAACAAAGAGCCCTGCCAGATTATCTGACTACAGATGAAGTGCACAATTTAAATTTACATAGGATGCATAATCCAAGTTTTCTTGAGCAATTGCCAAGAAACTGATTCAAGGGGTTCTTAGGACAATAAATATTCTCTCAAGAGTCCTTAGTCCATAAATGCAGAATTACTTTGACTAAACCCAATCTTTGTAGTAAGGCAAATCAGCAAAGGTTTCTACAAATTTAAATAATAATTTAAAAAGCAGGAAACCTTTATGGTGGGCTAGTTGCATTACAGTTCCCATCATCCCCAGCCAGCGAAGGTCATGTGCTGAAAAGACCTGGTGGGAGTCATCAACCAACACATCTGGAGGCACCAGTTTGTTATAGACGATTATATATTTATTCACTTACTCCAGTTACTGGGGAAAAACACCTCAGACAACAGCAAGAAATATGTTCTTACTAGCCTGAACTGGTTTCCACCTGAAATATATGTCTAGAGAAAAGTAATAAACACTGCTGACCTTTAATGTTAATATTGAAAAAGACGGAGTCACCACCCGCATCGCATACAAACTCTCCTGTGTCTTGCACCCGGGCTGAGGCAATTATCAGCCGGTGGTGAGACCCTTCACTCTGCAGCAGAAGATCTTCACTTTCCTCCACCTCTTCCCCATCTTTATACCAGCGCACAGAAGCATAAGGGCGAGACAGCTCACATGCCAATGTCACACGTTCGGAGGTCTGATAGATGTGGGCTTCATCCGCGTTGGAGCATACAACTTGCACAGGAGGTTCTACAACAGGAAAACCATGTTACATATCGGGAAGAGTCTTGATTCACAAGGTCAGGTGGCTTACCTGTAACTATAGTTCTTCAAGTGGACACCTGTGAATTCACACATGTGGGTTCTCCCTGCACCTGCACCGTCCTCAGAACTTTCCAGAACCTAAAAGAATCTGTTAAACAGTCCCCTGTACTGCACATGCTCCTCCACCTGACAGTTGGCCCTCAGTTCCTCCAGTCCACTGCTGACAAAAAATAAATGGTTGCAGGGCAGTCTGAGGGGAGTGAATTCACAGATGTATGAATTCACAGATGACGACTCAAAGAACTGCAGTTACAGGTAAGCAACATGTCTTCCTTCTTCATTGTCTCTGTAAAGCACACATGTGGGTGATTGACAGGCTAACTTACTGGCTAGTGAGATGTCATGCCAAAAAAAGAGGAGATCACTGCACTGACACATCAAGCTTTGCTCTGATGTTCAGGCTGTAGTGTTTGATGAAGACTGGGGGGTTGTGACCATGCTGTTGCTTTCCAAATGTCTCTCAACTGAATTCCTTTGAGAAAGGTTGTAGGAGCAGCAATCGCTCTGGCAGAATGCCATTTTTAAAATGTAGGGACTGGATTGTTTGCCAATTGCTATGACAAGGTAATGGTGTTCACCACCCATTTTGATATGCACTGAGAAATGATGTGTTTGCCTATCTTTGATCTTTGGTAACAGATGAACATGCACACACACACAGAGAGAGAGAGAGAGAGAGAGAGGTCCAGCAACCTTCCTCTGAGTGCCCCCCTCAAAAAAAGGTGCACTCAGCAGCAGCAGCTACCCCCACCATGACAGAGGAGCAAACTTTGCAAGGTGAGCCCAGGCAGCCTCCAGAGTCGAGGCGGCTGAAGCAGGACGAAGACGAGTAGGAGGAAGCACCGCCGGGTGCTGAGGCGGCCGCTGGCCGGGCTGGTGCTGGGGGTGCGGAGAGAGAAAGAGAGCCAGAGAGCCGCTTCCCTGGAAGAGGCGGCGGCTGCTGTTGGACGCTTGGAGGACAAGCCGGGAGCGAGCTCTGTTCTCAGGCATTGCTCGGCAGTGGCTTGGGCACTCGGGGAAAAGGACTGGCAGTGCACCTCGCTCGCTGGCTCTCCCCCAAGACAGCGCCTCTTGCACCCTCCATCCAGAACTGCAGCCTGCCAGCCGGCAGACATATGGGCTGGCTGGCAGGCTGCAGTTTCGGATGGAGGGTGGAAGAGGCGCTGTTTTGGGGAAGAGCCGGCGAATAAGGCAAGACTTTTTTTGACTCTTGATAGCAGAGGACGGGTGGGCACTTTTTGGGGGGGCAGGCAAGGTGGGGGCCACAAACTATAATCCAGTGGGCCGCAAATGGCCCCCAGGCCACATGTTTGAGACCCCTGCTCTAGAAGACTGCTTTGAAGGTGTTTACTCAGTGGTAGCTGAAAGGAACTGAGGGCTAACCATCAGGTGGGGAACATATGCAGTACAGAGGAGGGGTCTAATGGGTTGTTTTAGTCTCTGGAAAGTTATGAGGTGTCCTAACCAGGCACAGAGACTGTGTGATTCACAGAGGCCATGAAGAAATAAAACACATGCTTTGCATGTAGAAGACCCACATTTAGTCTGCAACATCACTAGACAGAGTTGGTAAAGAAGTCTGCATGAAACTATGGAAAGATGTTGCTAGTCCGAGAAGAAAATACTGTGCTAGAAGCATAGGAAATTCATATTGAGTCATACCATTGATCTGTTTAGCTTAGTATTGTCTGGTAATGGCAGTGGCTCTCCAGCATTTCAGACAGGAGGCTTCCCTGACTCCTTCTGTAAATCCTTGTTATTACTTCATGGTCTCCCTTCCAAGTACTGAGCAAGCCCAACCCTGCTTAGCTTCCAGAATCAGACAAGATCAAGTATGTTTAGGTTGGTTTTAGATGGACCAATGGTCCTGCTTCCTATGTCTCTCTAACCCAGGAGTAATCAGAAGAGGTCTTGTGAAATGGGCTGAGGCATCACAGTAAGACAGTCATTCAAAAACAGTATACTTAAACTCACTTGTTTGTACACTCACGTCAGCATGCATTTCATAAAACTAAAAAGATTAATCAATGGTTCTAACCATCCAGGTTTCCAGTTCAGAGAAAAGGCTGCCCACTACCATTGTCAGGGTACACTGCTTGGCCTTATCTCCAATCACCCCCATTGGGGTGGGTCAGTCTGCTGTGTTTCTGCATGACCTGTGACTGTTGTCATTCTGACATGCCTGGTCTGGTTCGGTTGGCCACGGCCATAGGAGGCTTCCTGTTGTGTCCCTTGCAGTAGAAGTGGACAACTATGAGAGATCTGAGGGCTGCACATGCCCACCCCAGATACGGGAGAGCCATGTCTGCTCCTGCCCCTCTTCCACTCCCCCATATTTTTTTAAAAAAAATTGTTTTTAAGGAACAGGACCCATTACAATCTCTCATGGTAAAATAGTTCAATATTTCAAATACTGAGGTGTGTGAAGAAGTTCATGGTATAGAGGTGGGGACAAAATGGCACACCACCTGAAGTGGGCCCTTTCTGAACCACCAAAAAAGCCATCTTTTTAAATAAGAAAAGAATGAATCCTTTAAAGAGGAAAGTGGGCAGAGGGACCCATCTGGGCTCTTAGAGGTAGTATGTGGCCTACTGGTTGCCCTTCAGTCTCCTCACTGTATGGTCCCTACTCAGATTCCCCTCCCCCCCTTCCATTCTCAATTTATACACAGTACCATGGCATATTCAATCACCCAACAGGGTTCACAGAAATTAGGTAAACTTTACCTCTGTATAACACTCCAAGGGCAAACATTTCAGGATGTACTTTTTTAAAAAAAGCCTTGATTCTCATATATTTGGGAAACACATGACTGGGCTAATTCTTCTGATCACTGCCCTGAATCAAACAGACATGCTGTTTCCTCTGGAATCAAAGGCATTTAACTGCCAACCTCAAAAATAGTCTGCCATAAGGTAATAAATACTATGGCTGAGTGACAAAGGATTTCTAAAACCAGAACTTCACAGAAAGAGGATGAGTAGGATTGAGAAAGAATGGCGAACCATCTTGCAAACTGGCCTCTGGTTTTGGTCAAAAGGAGGCAGAAGGCACAAACCTGTAGATGTCTCTACCCACTGCCCAGGCAGGACAGGGCAGGAAAACTATTGCCATTTTTTTGCTGTAAGCTCCACTAAAGAAAGGCAGGGCAATAAATCAATGAATAATATACAAAGATAAAGAGTAAGGAAGAGGTTTACCAGAGGCCATCTCTGACCTGTGACAGTGATGTTGAAGATGACAGAGTCACCATCTGCGTCACACACAAATTTTCCAGTATCATTCACTTGGGCAGAGGCAATGACCAGCTGGCAGTGTTCACCCTCCTTCTTTAGTAGCAAGCCATTACTTTCTTCTACCTCGACTCCATTCTTATACCAGTGCACAGATGTATCAGGACAGGACAGTTCACAGGACAGGACCACACGATCTGAAACCTGGTAGGTGTGAGCCTCTTCAGCATTGGAACGTACAACCCTTACGGGAGGCTCTGCAGTGCAAAAACAAACATTATAAAGCTTTTCTTGCTACCATAAGTCCCTGTTGCATCTCCATAGTTAGACACTGATTTTAAAAAGTATGAGCTTGGAGGAACAAATAAACAGGCAGCCTGTCCTCTTCCACTATTGCAAGGTCAGTTGGTTCTGATAGGAGAAAGCTGAATTTGGATGTAGAAGACGAGAAGAGCCTCATGACACAGGGGTTAAACTGCAGTACTGCAGTCAGGAGGACTCTGGTCATGATCTGAGTTTGATCCTGACAGGCTCAGGTGGCCAGCTCAGGGTTGACTCAGCACTCCATCCTTCCAAAGTCAGTAAAATAAATACCCAATTTGCTGTGGGGGCAAATGTGTAACCAAGATAATTAAATTGTAAATTGACCAGATAATGTTTTAAGCACTATGGGGAGGTATATAAGTGGCACACTTTCCTTTGCTTTCTCACTTTTGAATTCTAGTATCTACACAACAGAGATAACAACAACCAGCTTTTACAGGCACTTGTGCAAATGATTGAAAATTTCCTCATGTAGCAATTCATCAAAGCACTTCGGAAATTATACATGTCATTAACATGTAGTATTTGGATATGGGAAGCCTATATGTAGATTTATACTTTGTCAAGCTCAGAAATTGTAAACAATAATGCTGAATGTTCATATTACTGTTGAGCATGACTATAGTACACTGCCATAGGCACTGTTTTACAATGTAATCCTGTACACATCTCCTCATGTAAAGCTCCGCAGAGTCAAATGGGACTTACTCCTTGCTATGTGGGTACCAAATTACATCTTTAAAGTCATTACTTTGGTTATTTCCAAAAGTGTTTTTATGGAGGTCATTTGCAGCTCCATTTTACACAATACGTTTCAGAGGCTGAGGAAGAGAAACTTATCTGAGGCAAGATGAAATGTTCACAGCAGACGGGAAATATAAACATAGGCTTCCAGCCTACCATCATAGTTTCCTCTCCATACTTCAATAATCAAAGGGAAACATGGAGTACCACATAGGTATGGCTCATGGTCTGAGGGTTGAGAGATCACCCCAGTTTGGCAGTAAAGTTACACACACACACACACACACACACACCACTTAGACTGCGGTGTGCCTATGATATTAACAGGGTACAAGGAAAACCTCCCTTCTACCTTTGAGAAGATGCACAGAGTAAATATTTAAATGTGTTTAAATATGACTTATCCTCAGTTGCTTTGTTTTATTTATTTGTTTGCTTTTCTTTCTATGTACTGTCAAGTCAGAACAAGTTTCTCTCTCTCCCCTCCCTCCCTCCCTCCCTCCCTCCCTCTCTCTCTCTCTCTCTCTCACACACACACACACACACAGAGAGAGAGAGAGAGAGAGAGAGAGAGAGAGAGAGAGAGTTTCCATAGCTGAATGGAGATTTGAACCCAGGTCTCCAGAGTCCTCATCCATCACTCTATTCATGGCACTACACTGAATATCTATAATTACATGCTGTCAGGTCAATTCAGCCTTTCAGTGACCCTTTTCAGGATTTTCTAGGTATGAAGCACTCCAAAGTGATTTACAGTTCCCTTCTTCTGGGCACACTCTGAGACTGTGCAGTTTGCTTAAATAATGTAGGTTGACACTTTAGGGCAGTGGTTCCCAAATTATAGCCCCCAGGTGTTCTTGGACCAAAAACTCCCAGAAGCCTTCAGCACTAGCTGTGCTGGCCACGATTTCTGGGAGTTACAATCCAAGAACATCTGGGGACCCAAAGTTGAGAGCCAGTGCTGTAGAACTCGAATTCCCAACCTCTGGCTCTGCAGCAAGGCATCCAGATCACTGAGCTGTCCAGCCAGCAATATGTTTATTTGTTGTTGTTGTTTAGTCATTTAGTTGTGTCCGACTCTTCATGACCCCATGGACCACAGCATGCCATAAAAATATGTTTATTCAGTCTCCAGGATTGTCTGCCTCTTTGATTAGGAGGCTGCACCTGGTTCCTTCAAAAGGGAACAAAAACAATCCACTTCTAAAAGAAGCCTTAGGGCATCCATGGCAGTGACTTTAATAGACATTTATTCCTAGCCTTTGGGTAAGAATGCAGTTGAACAGGTTTGGGTTTTTTTTTTCTTTCACCCCAACCCCACAAACATTGACATACAAACCTTGGACAGATAGGGGGAAAGTGAAACATTATTGTTTTCAGAAACTTTAAAAATCTAATAGCACCATTTGGAAGAGTTAAACACTCATCCATAATTCCCACTACCACCCTCCCCAGCCCAACAACAACTCAACATTTCAAGTTTGTAAATTCTTGTAAGTCAGAAAAAAGATAAATCCCTTATGAATCTATCCAAAGTCTAAGTTAATTGTCCAAGGTTCTGTTACACATTCCATGTCCTGGAAAAATTGAGTTGGAAGGGAACTGAAACAGGGCCTTTTGTGTGTAGTAGTATATACACTGGTTGCAGGATGCTTTTCCCGTGTAGCTCAGACTGGTTCATGGCTCCCATTAAGAGAGCTTGTAAAAGCTACACAATACATTCTGCTAAAGTTTTGGTGATTCATGCCATGTTTTAAAGCTATATGTACTTCAGCAATTTTGTTTCACCTGGGATTTTTTTGAAAACTGTTATATTTTATTGTTTTTATGATTTTATTGTAAATCATATTGAGCACTCATGGATAGACAGAAGGACATAAAATAAAATAAAACTTTTATGTGCCTTGTCTGTGCATATGGTATGATGGACTCTGTCCTGCCAGTTCTTAACACCAAAGTTAGTTTAGTTTGTTCAGTGCCACAATTCTTTTTGTTCCTTTTTTCCTCAGATGACTCAGAAAACGGGCTGGGACCAAAAATTAGCTTTTGAGCAAAGTAGATATTAATTTATCAGAATTCTTTTGCAACAGACTATAAAGGATCGTGAAAGGCATATTTCAGTGGCGATGCTTCCTTTGCAGGAATGACTAACCTGTGATTGTGATGTTGAAGGAGACAGAATCTTTACCGACGTCACACACAAATTCCCCTGTGTGTTGCACCTGAGCTGCAGGTATGACCAGCCGGCAGTGAGGCCCCTCGCTCTCCAGCAGGAGGCCGTCTCTTTCTTCCACTTCCTCCCCATCCTTATACCAGCGCGCAGGAGCATTAGGGGAGGACAGTTCACAGAACAGCACCACATGTTGTGCGACCTGGTAGACGTGGGCCTCCTCAGCATTGGAACGTACAACTTTCACAGGAGGTTCTGCAGTGGCAATGGGATACCGTGATGGCAGAAGATGTAGCCAACATGCATAGGGCAGAAGATAGAGAAAACAGAGAATCATCATGACTGTTTTTTTTTCCAAGTTGGGAATAAAAGAATCTGCATCATAGCTGGCACAGTTGCTTCCTGAGATGAAGGATAAGGTATTGCCTCCTCTCCCCCTGCACAATCCCACTAGACTGGCAGTTGAATGCTAGCCACTTGCACCATACTGGAAGTCAGGCTGGCATAAATGATGCAGGACATCCTGTATGGTGCAAATGCACTTCTGCAACAGGGAGAGGGAAAGCTGTCTTGTGCTGAGTCTGACCTCTGTAAACCCTAAGCGGCTGTCCATGGTTTCAGGTTGTTCCTTAGCCTTACCTGGAGAGTCAGGCACTTCCTTAGGGTCTCTCATCCAAGTACTAAGCTTGATTCTGCTTTGCTTCCGAAGACCAGGTATGTCCAGGATTGTATGGCGGTCCTACACCAGTACTTAACTACAGTATCTTTCTTTGCCAGCATCTGTCACCTGAAGTGTCCACCTTACTCTGTCTAACAGTAGCGACATCCCTGATGAATCTTCCAGATGAAACACCTGCTGGCACTGTATAGCAGAAACCTCAGCACTTCCAGAGTAAGCTGCCAGACGCTCCTTATTTCAAGCTACATCTTTATTCTAAAGTATTTAACCATACAATATTTTCAGAGTGGTTGAACTTCCACCAGTTCCTTCTGGATAGCATGCCTGTCATACTGCCCCCTTCATTTCTGCTACAATGAACCCCTTTTCCCATGGCTCACCATCCACAACCACGCTGAAAGTGATGGCATCGTCACCCGCATCGCATGTATACGTTCCAGAGTCCAAGGAGCAGACTGCGGGAATCAGCAGTCTGCGGATGCAGCCTTCAGTCTGGACCACAAGAGCGCTGTCCCCCACAGCCACAGGAGTCCCTTCTTTGAACCAGAAGACAGGGGCGTCCGGTACAGACACTTCACATTCTAGAACCAAGGGCATCCCAGCCGCCACAGATCGAAGTCGCCTGGCCTCAGGCACCGGGGTAATGCGTACCTGTGGGGCTGGGGAGAGGCAGTGCATGAAGACCTGTATTGCATAAAACATCAACCCCTGTGCTACCATAGTGGCCATAATAATAATGGGGACACCAGGGCTGCAATTACACTTAGAGAAAGGAGGAAAGTCATTTTGCAGCTACTTCGTATTTTTCACATGACACAAGCCCTAATGCCATTTTTAAAAAGGTGGGCTGACACAATTTTGAACTGCACGAGGGCCTCCATCCCAGCTGACAGGTGCTGGGAAGCCTCCCAGCTAAGGCCAGGGCTGGTCATGTGACAAAACTGGAGCCACTGGAGCTACCCTTGAGGCAAGAACAGTGTCACTGGCTGGTAAGTGCCAAGGAGGCTGTCCAGCCACCTTGGCACTGGCCAGCTAGCAACCTTGTTGTTTCTGGAGGAGGGCAGCTCTAGCAGTTCCTTTTCCCCCACATGGTAACTGGGCAAGGCTGCCCCAACCCTGTCTGTTTGTAGCAGCAGGAAGCCTCTCAGTGTGGGCCGGCCAGCAGGCGTGGAACTGCCCCACAACCTACTTTAATGTGAAGATTCATGCCTGTTTTCAGATAACCCTCAGTAAAAAAAACTAAAATGGGTTATCTGAAACGTGTAGTTCCTGCCCAACTGAAAATGCTAGAATAATTGTGTACAAAATATCTGAAATGTCAGCATGCGAAACTCACACAGGTTACTATCTTGTGGCAATAACATTTTGAAGCAACTATGGTTCAGATTGGCTGCAATTGCATCATAGGTGGGAGGAAACTTTATCTACTAGATAAGGTTATCTTGCATTTGACAACATTTGATTGTGGCAGCTTTGCTTTGGTCTTTGCAAAGATGAAGGCAAATTACAGAAACACAAAGCAAATGAAGCTTCTTCAGATTAAAGGGACAATGAAGTTTCAAACAGAAAAAAATGTCTGCAAGGATCAGGATTCTGGGATACCATTTTCAGCTAAAAAAGCCTAGCTGCAAGCATTCCACTGGTGGATCTGAACTCATTTTTAAACACCAACACTTGGAAAAAGAGAAATTTAATTCTTTAATACTACATCATTTTCTACATTGAAATCTCCCATCCCTGCAGGTCTTAGTAGCTCCTGAAACATAAAAATACTGTATAGATATCTCCACTATGGCAAGAACACAGTTGTTTTAATGAATGAATTCAGTGCCTGGAAAACTCATGCAAGGGCTTACCTTGAACATGCAATACTGCACATTCCTTCACACCACTGGCCTCAAATCGCACCTCGGACCCATCTGCAGGTAGCTGGGCACACCGGATCTGCAAGGCATGGTCCACTCCACTGTGTGTGATCTGATACTGCTGACTCCCCTCCTTTTTCTCTAGCCTTTTCCCATTGAAGAACCAGTAGCCACATGTTGTGGCTGAAAGCTGAACTGAGAAAGTGGCATCCTCACCAACATGAACTGTGGCATCTTGCAGTCCTCTCTGTATGCGGGCCCTGGGGACTACGAGAATAAACAAAGGTTGTGGGAATTCACCTAACATGGCAAGCGATGTTTGTACACGCATGTACAGACAGACAGTTTGCAGGAATCGTGTTCAGATACTGGAAGGAAAAATTGCAAGATATTGCGTATGAGGAGTATAAGTGAAGACAGTCAGTCAAATGAAGGCTAACTAGTAGCAACAGACATCTTTTTCCTAAGCTGATGAACCATCTATGGTTCTTTTGCTTTGCATGTCTGCACCCTACTCCTCCAGTCCCATAAATAAACTATGGCAAAATTTCCAATCAGAACCTGAATATTATCTGGATCAAAAACATGTAAGCTTTTGGATATGAATAGCTTAGATGATGTTTTTGTACTTGTTCATTTATTTAAACTTACACCTCACCCTTCATTTTACTGTGAAATGTTGAAACGTATTATGGCACAGTGGTCTCCATTGCCTATGACCACTATCCAGTCTTAGAGACACGGAAGCTGGTTGTGATTTGTTTAATAATCGGTACAACACTTTTTTTCCCATAGGCTAAGCACTCTCATATTTGTTATCTTTTACAATAGCCTAAGGCTGAACCCAGACATTGAAAACAGCTTTCAAGGTTGACTCTGATGAGCTCTGCAGGAAGCATCCAGTGATAGTGCAGATCGTGGCTAAGCAGAATGGCAGAGTCAGGGGCCTTATCTAAACAGGTCTAGACAGCAGTAGGTCTCCAGCAGGTAGCTGGAGACAGTACTGTTCCTTTTCTAGCAAAAGCGGGTGAAGGGAACTTAACTAAGGCCCAGGAAAGCAAGGAATTCAAGATGCTTATAGTGTTAGCAAGCTAGATAGCTCAGTGGTTTAGGTATCTAACTGTGGAGCCAAAGGTTGGGAATTCAATTTCTCACTGTTGCCTCCTGGGAGAAGAGTGAGACAATGTCACAGTCCCACAAGAAGGGAGGGATAAACCACTTCTGTATATTCTCTACCTAGAAAACCCTGGAAAGGGTCACCATAAGTCAGAATTCACTTGACGGCATGCAAAAGTGTTAAGAACCCATACAGAACCCTGCCAGATTGGACTAAAGGTCATGCTAACCTATTTGGTTCAAGGGGGGTTAGCCAAATGCCAGGTGGATACTTGCAAACAGAACATGAGGGTAATTGCATCCTCCTACAGAGTAGAAGGGGACTCTTTAGCTTTGGGTATCATTGGGAGAATAAAACTGAAAAAGAAAGGGGTGTGATCAGTAGTTCAGTGGCTAAGTAATGAGAGTAGAAAACAGAGATGCTTGTAATGGCCATGCTTGAGGAAGCCCACTATTGATTCACCATTATGGAGCAGAGAGACTTACCAAGGTGCACAAACCCCGGGAATTCCACATGCTCACTGCATCCATACTGATTGGCAGCGCACACACGGAAGCGGTAGTCAGCCTCCTGTGGCATGCCATCACCCGGAACTTCAACCGTGCTGGCAACATCTGTGGTAAGACAAGGCACCCAGTCAGCCTCTCCCACAGCCTGCCTCTCAAGGATGTAGCTGCTTGGTGGACTGCGGTGCGCGTCTGGCGGTGGGCACCAAGACAGAAGTGCAGCATTGCTGTGTGATGTGCACATCTTTGCTGCCACAGGTGCACTTGGTGGGACTCTCTTGGCACCTGCAGGGAATACATCACTTCTGTCATCTTCTTATCTTATTAACCAGCTGATCCAGTCAGCAGCCTGGCAACTGTATTTGAATTACCTAATGTTGTTGAGCAGTCTTCAGAAGTTGACCCATACAATGCATTACAGTACAGTAGTCATTCTTAGATGTTACCACAGTACAGTCAGCATATTCCTCCCTAGAAAAGGCCGGAGCTCACAACTAGCATAAGATTAAGCCCCCACCCCCCAAATTCCGTGGGCCTTGTGTGACAGATCTAAATCTCCCAAAGACTAAAATTTTGCTTTTTAATTACCTGTCTATCTGTTTTAAAACCTTCTTTTACCATTACAGTACAGAACTGAAAGCAGCTTACAACATGCATTTTTAAAAAGAGATAAAGCTAAAGAAGCACAATAATTTACAATATCAAAACTATTATATAAATTGTTTAAACAAGTGCTAAAGTATATGGTTTAAAAGCACACAATAGAAATGTGACACTCCCCATTAAAAGATAAATACGCATTAACTAATCAGCGGGCAAAGTCCTGTCAAAATAAATATATATATGTGGCTTTTAGATCTATCTGTGGAACAACAGCAGGGAGGGAGGGAGCCAACACTCCCTCCAAACAGAGTTTCTTCAGAGAAGAGCTCCATAGGCTGCCAGCAGCCATCACAACGACCCTCATGTGTCCTCACTGAAGTTGTCTGTGAGGGTGATGGGACAAAAAGAAAGGTATCTCCTGAAGGTCTTAAGACCTGGGCCATTTTATGTTGCAATATAAGATATTTCAGATAGTCTGGACACAATTTGTATAGGGTTTTATAGGTCATAAAAAGCATTTTTAAATTGAGCCTGGAAACAGACTGTTACTTCCTATAGCAAAGAACTTCTATTCTCACTATAACTAGCTCTAGTTAATAGCTCAGCCACAGCATTTGAGACCCACTAGAGATACTGAATCCTTTCCAAAGGCAGCCCCTGTGAATCATACTACAGTGATCCAAGTGGGATGCAATGATGGCGGGCATCACCATAGCCAATTCGGACTTCTTTAGGAATGAGAACAGCTAGCACATGAACTTTAAATGTATAAATGCACTCCTGGACACTGCTGAAACTGAAGCATCCAAGCTACAGCCTATCCAAGAATACACCCAGGCTGTGAAGTTGAGTTTTCACAGGGAGTATAAAAAGTAAGTCATTATTCCCTGATCTGCCTTCCAACTGATTAGGAATAAACATGCCTTGTCTAGATTAAGCTTCAATTTGTTCACCCTCATGCATCCATCTCATTAAGAAACCCAGACACCAGTTAGAATTGAAAGAGCTTCCTTAGATTTAAATAGAGAGGCAAAATAAGAGTTGCCAAACAGTGCCTGCTAGTCCGATCCCAGAAGGGTACTGCAGTTAATGATGTCAAACAATAGCTGAAAGATCCAGGGGAACCAACAAGGACACACTCCAGTCCCCAGTGGAGGTCATTTGCCAAAGCAGTCAAAGCTTTCTGTACCCAGTACTCAAGAGTGAAGCCAAACTGAAATGAATCCAGATTATTCATCTCATCCAGGGAACATTGGGTCCAAGAAGCCACCACACTTCTACAATACCTTGCTCAAGGAGAGAATCCTGGAGACTGGCCAACCATTACTGAGAACAGGGCGTTCAGAAAGGCATCTAGGGCAGCAACTCCATCTGGACATTGTCTCTATGAGCAGAGGCACCCCCATTCCATCTCATCAGGACTAAAGTTCAGTTTATTAGCCCTCACTGAAAGCATCTGCCTGCATAGTAGGCGTTTCCCTCACTTCTAGCCAACAAACGTGCACCAAATAATGGCAGTCAACAAGTTATACAAAGCTGCCTGTTCTTCCAGGAACAGTCAAACCGGAGGCTGCTGTTTTTTAACAACAGTTCTGGGAATGCAATGGGAAAGAGGAAAGGGGAAGGGGTGTTCACTGTTTCCTATTCCCCCGCCCAGCAGGAGTAATACCAGTTTGAGGTGCTATTTTGAGCAAAAAAATGGGAAATTATTAAGCACCTCCCTCTACTGATATTAGCTTGAGCCACAAGACTGCTTTTGAATACTGAAGCAAGCCATCCAGAGAAAGGTACAACACACAACTGACTGGGTGTACCTGAGGGCTGAAACAACTGTTCCACCTAAGGCATGAATGGAAGAGTATGCAAAAAGTATTTGCACACGCAGCAAGAGTTTTCCTCGTTTCTTGTAATCCTCAAATTAGCTTGCTTTTCTCTGTGATTGGTCTTCCAGACTTAAGACCAGATTTCTTCAAAGTGTGGTTTCTCAAACAGCGAAGTCCTGGATCAGGGTGCTCCAATATTAGCAAGCTTTCCGCTCTAATCTGTAACATGTGTTTCTATCCTCAAGGAATCAGAAGCTAAAAGATTGTTGGACAGCAGCGGGAAACAGAAAACAAAGGCAGCTGCTGCCAGCAAAGCCTTCTCTGCACAATTAATGTTGTTCCTGAGACATTTTGAATACAAGAACTCTTTATCAAGGGGTTATTCATACATGTGAACTGTATTCAAAAGCAATTATCTGGTAGCTGAGCTGTTTTTTCTCTTTTCTGTGCGCTATTAAGTTCTATACTGTAGTTCTCTGACCAGCCTTTTTGACAGAGCTATACTCATAGAGTTCTTGACTGGCCTGTAAACAGCTCTCATAAGACATAAAATGAAATATCTTCATGCATTCTCAAAACCAGAATTTTCATCTCAGGACAAGAGAGTGCTTAAAAGTAGTCCATGAAGTAATGTTTATTTTGAACCTCATTTAGTTCAAAGTAAAATTTAGCAGAAGTTAGCAACTCACATTTTAAAATTCCAATGCCTTGACAAATAAAATTTCTATTTTTGGGGTAATCGCATTAAATATAGCAGTTTTCAGAGAGATGACAGTATAAAATCTGTTTCAGCAAAACGAAAACCAAAGGCAGAATGCATAATCTATGAAAGCTCACAGAAATAAATTTGTAGTCTTAAAAATTCCAGTACATATCCTCCAAGTATACATTACATATATCCTTGGAGAATATGTTTAGAAATGTCCACCCTTAATTTAATTTTAGTTCTAGGAAAAGACATATTGTAGAAATCAAGTTTTCAACCATCCTTCTGTAACCTTGGGACTCAGTATTACTCCTTGTATTAATTAATTAATTGATTGGATGAGTGATGTTCCTTTTAATAGTTAAGATCTACATACATGGGCTATTGAGTACAGTAGTTTCCTCTCTAAGTACAGATTATGTCATCTACATCACTTAGACAATGCAATACTGCTGCATCAGGCACTACTAGCTATCTGACCAAGACAAACAATATCAAAGCAAATTGTGGTCTCAGAAAGTCTGCCTAATAGGTAATATATTGTCATCAGTATGGGATGATACACAAGCCAAAATCCTGTTGGTTAGCATAATAAATTTGAGGAGCAATAAGATCATAAACAACCATAGGTGCCAAAGGGAGATGAGAACATGTTAAATAAAATTAGAATACAAGTTTAACTGTCAGGGAGAGTTCAGCAGTAGTTCCACAAAAACCCAGTCTGGTTCTACATAAGGCACTGGTTGTTGTTGTTGTTTAGTCGTGTCAGACTCTTCGTGACCCCATGGACCAGAGCACGCCAGGCCCTCCTGTCTTCCACTGCCTCCCGGAGTTGGGTCAAATTCATGTTGGTAGCTTCGATGACACTGTCCAGCCATCTCATCCTCTGTCGTCCCCTTCTCCTCTTGCCTTCACACTTTCCCAACATCAAGGTTTTTTCCAGGGAGTCTTCTCTTCTCATGAGGTGGCCAAAGTACTGGAGCTTCAGCTTCAGGATCTGTCCTTCCAGTGAGCACTCAGGTTTGATTTCCTTTAGAATGGATAGGTTTGTTGTACTTGCATCTGTATGATGCACAGTTTCAGTTCATAAATTTAGCTTAAGGCACTGATTAGACTAAGCTAAATTTATGAACTGAAACTCTGCATCATACAGATTTTCCCTAATTCTAGGGTTCAAAAACACAAGCTGGCAAATCTCCATCCAATGGCGTGTCTGTTATAAGGCAGTGCAAGGTGAGGAAAGTCCTCATTACCCTTAATGGCCAAGGCAACCAAGACATATTATAAAGCAGGTGAACTGTTTCTTACTATCGTGGCCTTCCTCTTACCTCGCCACTTGTTCCCGCTGTTGTTTCAAGTGCCAACATCACCAACAAGAGTAACAGGTTGCCTCAAGCGGAGTGATTATCTGAACCCACTGTACCTGTCCTATGGGAAAGAACTTCTGTGCTGGGTCTAATATGAGTGAGGGAACCACAGCTCAGGTAGGGGGACACATCAAACGAGTCACCTATCTCGAAGGGAGCTGCTTCAGGAGAGAGGCAGGGGAAATTCCTTTATTCTCTACTGAGTGGGAGACAACACTGGAAATTCTCTTCTGCTTGGACCTTTGTCCTGTGTTTGGATATTTCTGAGCTATCTATAGCTTGGGCCCTAGAGAAGGGTGGTATTGTGTGCCTGAAAGGGCAAATAATTGCTTAGCTGGGGGACAGAATGGAGGAATTCCAATATCAGTGGTCCTGGGTAAAAGGAAATATAGCACAGGGAGAGATATAGCGTAGGTGAGGGGTGCGTGGGATAGGCAGTTTTGTTCTGCACCACATGCAGCACTGCCTTCTTTACTCAAGGCAGTGGTAGCTGTTCTATCACTTGGCTAATACAATAGGTTTGTGATTGCTATGGTTGAACCCACAGCTGATTCTTTTTATAAATTCCATTATCCATAGTTTGGTCATGAGGAGTAAGGAGTCTGAGGTAGCATATGTAATTGAGACAGAGGGTGAACAAGGTGGTGGGATTGGCTGCCTACCACATTTTAAAATGGCACCAGAGCAGACTCCGACATTGAGGAAGGGAGAAGGGTGCACAGAAATACACTCTCTCACACACACACACTCTCGCTCTTGCTCTCTTTCTCTCTCTCAGCTTCCCGTTTAACTGACTACTGGACTAGAATATCTATAACTGGTGTTGCGTAAATAAGGGATATTAGGGATTCCACTGGTCTGCTGACCGAGATGGTTTTACATGCTGCCTCAAAGGAGGTTGCAGAACCCTTGGTGATCATTGTGACTCATCCACAAAGCATTTTGAAGATAAAATTGCTTGTATCCCTTGAGGCCAAGACTTTACTGCTGCAACGGATCAGTCTTGAGCATCCAGAGCATTGCCTTGGCCAGTTTTATTAGGCGAGTTAGCTTAACTTAGTATAGTTGGAGGATGTCAAGAAAGGTCATGGAGAGGTCTGGGCAACCAAAAACATTCTTGATCTTCTATCCTCATGGTGAGTACAGCTGGTTTGGGTCAAGGACATAATTAATTATTCCTTGTGGGAAGGAGCAGTCCCAAGGTGCCTAATTTAGAAATGGAATATTCTGCTTTGCAATGTTTCCAATTTTCTTTGCAAGGTGAACGCCCAAGGATTATGCTTGGGGCATATTTTCTGGATGTGTGGAGCGTTCAGTGTTGGGAGGTGCAGAGTTTAAATATCCCTCATGCTCTTCAATGTCTACATTAATTATTAAGTGAGGACATCAAGAATTTCAGAGAGTCTTGTCATCAGTATAGCTGATAACACACAGGCCAAAATCCTGTTGCTTAGCATAGCAAATTACGCTAGCGTAGGCCCATCGAATCACTGGTGAATCTACTCCTCCCTAAGTTCCAGTGAGCGAAACTGGCCTACTCTAGTGTAACTTACTAAACTAAGTAACATGATTTTGGCCACAAATTTTTATTTCTCATACGTATTTTCTCATAAATACATGTAGTGGCGGATACACTGAGATGGTATCTGGTAAGAGAGTTAATGAGTGGTTCCCCTAGTTCTCTCCAACCTGCATTGGCTGCCAGTTTGTTTTGAAGCCATGCATGGTTTAGGACTTCTCTTCAAGGATGATATTTTCCTAAACAGCCTCGACACTGAGATCAATGTTAAAGACCGATATTTCTGTTCCTCTTCCAGCAGATGTTGAGAGAATGGTAACAGGAGAACATGTCTTTTGTGCCATAGCTCCTCAGTTATGTAAATCTCTTCCCAAGGAAGCTCACTTGGTGCCAACTTTTTAATCTTTTGGGCACCAGGAAAAGATCTTTCCCTTCTCTCAGAATTTAGATAGCTATCAAGGCTAGATTGTTGAACTATCTCTGGTTGTCCAAACTTTGTTGAATAGGGCAATGGCTCCCAACCTTGGGTAGCCCAGATGTTCTTGGACTGCAATTCCCAGAAGCCTTCATCACCAGCTATGCTTGCTGGGAGTTCTGGGAAATGCAGTCCAAGAACCAAGGTTGGGAACCACTAGAACAGATGAATTGTTTTAGGTGGCCTTTTGGAGGGACACTCCTAGCAAATGTGTGTGGTTTAACAGCTTCTCTTTTTGGGGCTACAAATTGCTCCGGGGACTATTTTTGTTGTACAAAAGACACAGAGATCTAATAAAGATATTTCGATGAGAAAATGAAATACTATCTTTAAGTGAAGGGCTGGCTTTATGACTGAAGTTCATATCAAAGGCTAAATATAACTGATTCTGTGCTGAGATGGATTTCACCTCCTCATCCACCCCTAGCAACTCTATCAGTGTTCTCCACTCACATTTGACACGGAGTTGTGCTGACGTTTGTGATTCGCCTGCTGTGAAAGTGATGACTCCAGCATCGTGCCGTGACACATGCACCAGTACCAGAAGGTGGATTTTACCAAAGCTTCTGATGAGGGTGTGAGATGTTTCTACCAGTTCCTGCCCGTTACGTCCCCAACTTGGTGCCTCCACAGGTTCTCGTGTTTCTACATAAAAGGCAGCATTCTCCCCTTCCATGACATCTAGCTTCCGTGGTAACCGTTTCACTATCAGACCTAGAGAAAAGAGTTTGGTCCATTAGCATGGGAAAAACTCGAATGTAACAAATTTGTGTCTAAAACTATCTGGTCATGGACATGACCTAACTACGGCGACTACTTACAACACACAAAAAAGAGAAAATGTAGCAACTAAGAACAGGAACTCCCCCCCACCCAGATATGGGACACCAATTTGCATAAAACATGCACGTTCTTAGTTACAGATCTTGACTGAAAAATAATTACTATGACTGAAAGATACAATATGCATTTCCATAGTGAGGAACGCTGTGATCAGGTCACCAAGTAACTGCCCAATCTACAGTCCAGGGGCTAATGATGGGCAACTTCAGAGCCCCTGCTTTCTTGGATTCTTTAAGCAGGTCTGGGCTGAACAGTTAACTCTGTACAGTCAAATAGATTGTATGCCTTCAAACAGGGAACCATCACCTGTAAAATAGGATACACACCCAACGGACATTTCTCCAAGTTTGGCTCACCTTGCACTGAGAGCTCCCCAATGCTGCGGCCCTTGCCCTCCATCTCACATAAATAGATACCATCGTCATCAGCCCGGGCATCCCGGACTGTCAGTCGCCGCAACAGACCATGCTCCTCCATTAGGTATTTAGGGCTGGGATGCAGGCGCTTGTCTTCAAGGTACCACACTGTCGGGATGGTCTCGAGAGGCACTTGGCACTCTAATATTGCATCCTGGCGTTCCATCACTTCCACATTCACCAAAGGTGCCTGGAACCGTAGCCGTGGTTCTGTAAGTAAGAGACAAAGAAGGGTCTGGACAAAGACAAAGAGCCAGCCCAAGCAGGTCTTCAGGCTCCCCTTCACTGAGATTTCAGGGCCAAAACATGAGGCCATGGGCAACATTCCTGAGGCATCAGAGGGGTGGTTCCTTGTGACAACACAGAGATGGAGCAGGCAGGCATTTGGAAGAGGGCTAGAACTGCTTCTGTGTCAGCTGATGGTGGAGAAGGACATAAGCATACTCCTGCTGCAGCTCTTGCGAGGCTCACAGCCAGCCCATCATCAGTTCTTTTCCAGCTACACACCACCACTGCCAGGACTTGTGCAACAAGAGGCCTTGGGCAATGCTGGTGGTACACACACACACACACAATTTTGTCTAGTACTCAAGTGCCACTTGCCCAAAGATTTGTCCTTTTTCCCTAAAACTAGGAAGGCAAATAGTTCCCTGAGATTTCTGCCAGTGACCTGAGACCTGGCAACGGTAATCTTCGGAGTCCTGGGGCTGAGCCACAGCGTCAGGTTGCTAGGATTAAGAAAAATGTCATTCTTCTCTCTCAAAAACTTCAGTTTCTCTGTTATTGATACATCTGTTTCCCCTTAACCTCCAACATTTCTCAATACTGGAAAATGGACCATACATGAAAGGGTTATATTTAGTTGTTTTTTAATAGTTGCTTTGCAGTCCCCCTCTACCTTTGTCTGCTTTCAGGGAGTCAGCAATTTCTGGAGGATGGCCTGAATCTCCCCTAAGGGTTATTCTGACAGGTGGCAGAGTGCTAAGTGGGTGGCATGCGGTATCTGTGGTAATCAACCTTCTTGCTGTTAGCCCTTTTGAGCCCAGTGCAAAGGACACCTGCTACCCATATAACAACCCAAGGGAACATAGAGCAGAGATGAGATTGAGGGAAACAGCCATGGCCAATGGCTCTGGGAAGAACAGGTGAAGTTTGCTTAGATGTCACAGCTGAGACCAGCGATTGAATTGCTAGCAAAGCAGACACTAGGCTCCAGCCATTCGGGAGAGGAAGGGGGGTGGAAATCCTCTCTGATCTGGAAGCCCTTCCCCTTCATCCACAATGTATAGGGTTGCTCAGTGGTGAGGGTCACATATTTCACATGCAATTGGTAAGCAGTTTCATCTCTTCTTTTTTTATATGCGTTCCAGGGTTGAGAGCTAGAAAAGAGAGCAGATGTCTGGGCTGAGACCAAGCACAGATTAAGCCCTAGATGAGCCTCTTTCTGGCTTCATCCTTTTTTCCAAATTAAGAGGGATGAAGCCAGAATCCTTCAGAATGCCCATCATCTTTTAAAGAGGCAGCCTCGCCTTAGAAGTAGCATTGGTGGCCTAGTCTGTATAGAAAAGCAGACAAAGTGGGGAAACTGTATTGGGCTACCTTCTTTCAGTCGTGGTGCTGGGTCTGAGCACTGCACGCGTACTACAAAAATATAGCATCTCAGGGGAAAGGGGAAAGAACAGGCAAGACCTCCTTTTGTTGTACACCTCACTTTCTCTTCACAGTGAATATTTATATGGCAGCAGGGGGAGGTGGTGCATTTAATCCAATCCGAAATGGTACCGTCCAGGAACAGTATGTCCAAGAACAGTATCACCACTTTATCTGCTATTTGCACCGTCCTGGCTTCATATATTCCAGACTACATTTGCCAAGGCCTGACTCAGTGTTTTAATGAGCAAGTGGTTTCTCCTGCTTATGAAATTTCATCATTAGAATCACCCATCTCTTTCTCTCTTTCTTCCTGTGGCTTTCCCCCCCCCCTTTGCATCCTTCCTTCAGTCACCCATGCTCCCTCCCATCGTGACAGATGTTTTGCCTATTTTTAAAAAAGCCCAAGGAGTGCAGGCACTCCAAACTCCCTGTGTGACATGTTCCATTGCATGGCTATTCTTATGGCGAGAGAAATCTTCCTGGTATTTAATCCTTCTTTTTCAGCTAAAGCTCCTTTCCTTTCTTGTCTGACCCTCAGGAGGTTCAGATAACAGTTGGTCCCTTTCTTACTTACAGCAGCCTTTGACATATAACCGAAGCCTGTTATCATGCATCCACCAGCCAGCCCCTTCTTCCCAGGACTAGTTCAGCAGCATTCCAGGGCCCCTTATCAGCTGCTCCACTCCTCTCTTCTGAACCCTCTTTGACATTCATGACTTGTCCCAACCAAACACCCATTCAGAAGTGTGAAAGGGCAATGTGGGGGGGGGGGGGAGCACTCATTTTTTTAAAAAAAAGTCACACTTCAAAAAATGCTTTGCCGCCCTTCTTTTCCCTTCCCTTGTCACATTTGTCTCCAAAATAACCAATACTGCCATCTTTTTTCCATTGCTGTCCATCTCCTCTGATGTGTGACCGATGTCGTTATGGATGGATTTGTCCCCATCCATCAAAACCCGGGTCCAGTGTAACAAATGAAATTATCTTTGCTTCTAGTGAGGCAGCACAAAGAACAATAGGCAACCGCAAAAGCAGGGGAGCCCAGTGTCCAGTTTGGAAAACAAATTGGTTGTTGTTGACCCTAAAACAGAGTCTTCCTCAAATAACACATTCTCACATCAGAGACTGAAGCCTTGATTCAAATGAACACATTGACAAATTAAATAATAAAATGGTCCATAGATCCTAGCATTTGTCACTGCAAATGCGTGATCACATGACTTAGCATGTTTCCCATTTAAAAAAAAAAAAAATCCCTGCACAATAAAATTGAATAAAGGGCTGGATACAAATCCCTGCTTGGTCATGGGAGCTACTCCTTAAATATTTTAATTACCTTGAAAACCCTGTCAGGGTTGCAATAAAAAGGTGCGACTTGATGGCACATAGTACTAGTGTTGTAGCTGTAAGAAGTTATTCTACACAGAAGAGCACTCACTTGTGCAAAATCTATCTGTGGTTTACACTATCCAGGAATAATAACCAGCTTTTTCAGGGACAGCCATACCATTGAGAAGAGTAAGATGGTCAGCAGATTTGGGGTGTCATGAAACTGCAAGAAATAGTTCGTAACTGAATTTGATGTTGTATTTTTTTTTTAACTAACAGAGATGAGGTGAGGGATTTGTGGGATTTTACCCCTCATGTGTCAAAATAATACAGCTGGTTTTAGCTACTATGCACCTTGTCTTGGGTGACAAGAAGGCACCATTTACTGCTATGTCTGAGGCAGCAAAAGGCCATGGGCCAACTCTGCCTTTTTGATACAAAAGAACTGGGCAAAATCAATGCATGAGGGGAAAGGGTTAATGGTTTCTAGCCATGCTCCAATCTCAGATGTGTTATCCTACACTTCTGCACAAGGGGCCCACATGTGCACAGCTTGTATGTACAGATGTTCATGTTAGTGGCAGGTAAACAAGCAATTGTCAGGACCCAGACCTAAAGACATACTCCTGCTCCCCTCTCCAAGCATTGATGATTTGATTCTATTCAAGTTCGTTGTGTGAAAAGGCTTACAGCACTTTCTGATCCAAGATGGGAGAGTTCACAGCCAAGTTTATCTACAGCATGCCATGTTCCCTCCCTGGAGATGGGAAATGTTTCCTGTCCAGCCCTGTCTTTGGCACCTAAACTGCCCTCTGGCTGAGTGCCCAACCTCCCCACAATTGATTGGAGCTGTCATGGGCAAAGGGCACATATATACACTCCCCGTTCCTGGCAAGGCTCTCAGGAATGCCCCAGTAGGGACACTCAGACTCCTCAGCAAGAAGGCGACAAGCAACAAGCAGGGCTCCCTTAGCCAGCCCAGTTATCCTTATGGAGGCCCTGCAGATGCCTGCTGCTTCTCACAAATAAAGTGCGCTGGGTTGCTAGTCCTAGAGAATGGAGAGATGCCATCTATATTAATAGAAATGATTGTCACCTGAGGTCATGAAAAGGACCATTGGGTCACTTTGCTGATCAGCAAATTTACAGTGCAAAGAAATCAAAGGAATAGTCTCCCATAGGGTATGGTCCTGGCACATTATATTTTAACAGTTACACAAATGATCAGCCAATATTCCCATATTGCACGAGTTTCATCTATGCTGATAATATTGCCTTGACAGTCTAGCAGGAAACCTTTGAGGCAATTGAGCCCCAGCTAACCTCTGCATTAGAGGAGCTTTCTTTATATTATAAAAACAACTGACACCAAACCCTTTAAAAACACAGGCTGTGCCTTCCACTTAAAGAAGAGAGAAGAACTCTGGATCGAACCTTCACCCACAAAAAACACTATCTAAACACCAAACAGGCAGTTGCCACTAGAAATATCATACTTAGGATACTGGCTGGGTAAGACTGTCCCTGTGCTACTCCACAGCAGAACATGCTAGTGCCATGCAGCATAAATCAGCACAGGCCAAACAACTGGATGTAGCTCTTAATGAATCATGTAGGATTATTATTGGCTGCCTCAAACCTACCTCCATTGAAAAATTCTATTATATGGCTGGCATTGCCCCTCCAAAAGTATGTTGAGAGGTGCCAGCAAATAATGAACAAAGTAAGATAATAGAGCACCAATCTACTTCATGGAAACTAACCTCCTAGATGATGGCTAAAAGTGTGGAAAGGTTTCTGCATACATCTCAAGCTCTAAATATTAAACCAGAAGAAGTTAAATCTATGAAGAACGAAAACAACACATATTGCCAAATGGATGATTGCTAGAGTGTCTCCCACCAGGACAAGACTCTAGCTGGACCATGTGGAAGTCACTTTAGTAGACTTCAAAGAGAAGTGGGAATAATCAAGTAAAACAGGGCTACTTGGATACAGGACAAATGTTCTGTGACTGTGGAGAAATTAAATCAATGCAGCACTTAATGTGCATGCAATTAATGCCCCACCACGTATCCAAAAAAGATTTAGCAAATGGCCAAGCTAATGCTATTGAAGTAGTCCACTTCTGGTCAAAAACGGTCTAATTACCTTAACATTTTAATTTGTTTTTAATTTTACCTACATTTCATATAGGTCCATAATTTTATATTGTGCAATGATCTGATATGAATAAAGAAAGAAAGCTCTAAGGGAGACCTCCTTGGCTTGCCTTTAAACCTACTCCCGTTCTCACATATGACCTTCCCACTCTGCAGTCTGTCCTTCATTCATTTCAAATTAATTACATGTTGTACAATCATAGTGTCCTCATTTCCACCTTGGTGCAATGGACTCTTTGGTCCATCATCCCAGAGGAGGAAATAGTGGGTTAAAGTCATGTGGACATTGACTACCCAGTTTCTTTCAGATGGCATCCTTCAGGCAGATTGAACGGTAACTCCCATCGTATCAGCCATTGGTGATGGGAGTTGCAACAGAGCACATCTGGAAGATACCAAGTTAGGGAAGGCTGGCTTGATCTACAAACCAAGGAGGAGGAAGGCTTTATCGTCAACTCAGACTTGCAGTTGTGTCTCTGTTTTTCTGCACCTTTTAGGGGTTATCCTGTTTCTTATACTTTAATTATTAGCAGTATAGGGGCAGTAATCTAGGCAACATCCACAGTGCTATCTCACACACTCTCATTTTCCCTGTGAGTTTTACATCCTCTCTTCTCTATCAATGATTTTGGCAGTGTTGGGACAAAGGACTCTGATCAAGACTACTGTCTTTGTACTGCAAATAGCACCTGTTACCTACTATGTGGCTTGCAGCTGGTTGGATGGGCTGTGGGGAGAGCGAGCAATGCTCCCTGGTGCTTTGCGGACCACACAGAGAGTAGCCGAAAATTGCAGCTGCCTTCCTTCTTTAGTTCCTATGGCTGCCAGGTCTCTCTCTCCCCATCCTCTCACCCACCCTCTCTCTCACACAAACTCTCACACACATGCACACACTTCAATTTCTTCACCATTAGAAAAACTTCACTCTGTTCCTTGGGTGCACACCTTTCTTCAGACTTGTCCTCAAACACATCATATGTTCCTATTCTGATACCCTCTTTAAATGCCATTCTGCTCCTCCATGCCCTTTTGTCTTTCCTCCCCCTGTTTTTGGTACCTTTCACATGGAGTCTCACGGCACTGAGTGTCTGGCCAGCTGTGTTGCAGGCTGTACACACATACAGCCCACCGTCCTGGGCGGTGCAATAAAGCACCCTGAGGATAAAGTAACCCTCTCGGTCTTCGTAGAGCAGGTGTCTCCTTCCCGGAGACAACACTTTCCCATCCTTCTGCCAGACAATCTCTGGCTTAGGCTTGCCAGTCACATAACAGCGGAACTTGGCATGCTTCCCTTCATTGACAGTAAATGCCTTTGTAGAAGGTAGGTTGGGAGGGACTTCTCCATTTTGCCTGGCTTCTGGTGGCACATTTTGCCCAGAGTGATGCCGCTGCCCCTTGGTATCTTGCGACTCTGGCAGCTTCTTCAAATGGCCATTTGGGAGGGCGTCTTGAAAAAGTTCATCTTGGGAGATGCATGCCACAGAATCTACCAGGAGGACAGCTGCAGCCGTGGTCTCTCCAAAGTTGTTCTGTGCCCGGCATACATAGACACCTGCATCTGGGGGGCGGGTGTTGTAAATATGCAAAGAGTGCCAGTCACCAGGTTCTGTGAGCACCTTGTAGTGGCTGCTCTCGAAAATGTCTGACAGTTTGCGTCCATCCTTTTCCCACTCAAGCTGCCCTGCAACCCTGCAGGCAAAGGTGATATCCTCTCCACGGGCCACCCGGGCAGAGACGGGCCTGTTCAAGAAGATGGGAGGCTGAGAATCCAGATCTCCTTTGGGTCTCAGTTCGGCCCCCTCCACTTTGAGAGTAGCAGCTGCATAGGTTTCACCCACACTGTTCTTAGCTTTGCATACGTAGCGTCCACTGTCTGATGGGCCAGCCTTAGACACCAGCAGGCTGTACGCATCCCCCTCAGCCTCCACAAAGATCCGGCCTGATGGCAGGTCGAGGGCAGAGCCATCCTTCTCCCAGGCAATGCTAGGGCGTGGCTCACCAGCCACTTGCCATTTCAGTACAGCGTTAGTGCCACTCTGCACTGTGAACGTGCGGGGGTAGACAAGAAACCGGGGAGCTCCTCCAAAAGCATCCATTGCTGTATCAGTCCAGATCCTGTTAAGGCCAGAGACCTACAAGGAGTCAAAGTAAGAGATAATTAGAACAGGAGATGCTGGAAATTAAAGGTTTGAAGGATACAGAAATAGCCTTTCAGTGTGCTTCACTGCTCAAGCAAGATGGAATTACAAGAATAAAAGTAAGTGGAGTAGAAAACAGATCATACTCCAGTTTGGTATGCAAGGAAATGGCTGAGGGAGTGTTTCATAACGCTCCTTTCTCATTGCCATCATGTGCTGTCAAGTCAATTTTGACTTACAGCAACCCTTTTTCGGGTTTTCCAGGTAGTGAGTACTCAGAAGGGTTCACCATTCCCTTCTTCTAGGGCATCCTGGGATTGTGCAGCTTGCCCCCAAGGCCACACAGGCTGGCTCTATTCGTAGGGGACTCCCAACCTCTGGCTCCACAGACAGATACCTAAACCACGTTTTTATGATACTGCTGTTCAGCCTGTAAGGTCAGCAGTTTTTCAGCAGTTTTGTAGGGAGAAAAATGATCTGAAGACTGGGCACCTGGTAAAGTTCTCACTTGATATCACATGGTCAATAGAGCTCAGAATCATTCAGTTCAACCTACCCTGGCCATTGTCCTGCAGTTGGATATGTGAATAGGCTGTCTTAGAGTTTAGAAAAGTGAATCTTTCTGGTGACTCCTGGAGGAGTCAAGGAGTTATACAGTAGTCCCCAAAAATTGTTTATCTGAGCTCTGGGCTGCTTGCTACATATCTGTGTTTCTAAGGCACTGTACTCTCTTAGACATACTGTACCCATTTTTGCACAATCCCTGTTTCAATGATGTTGGTTCTTTCATGCATTGTGCTAGGCTCAGATGATATGAGTGGGAGTGTAAGGAGTTACTGAATAGACAGTCTTGCTGCGGGACAGGGGACAGGACTGCTGCAAACCTGCCCTGTGGTGAAAATAGGACATAAAATATAAGCAAATGCTCTGCCAACAGGTGGAGGCCATCAAATTCTTTCCCTGCCCACATCACAGCAGCTGCTGGAGGAGGGGGGGCACTGGGTCAAGGTCCTGGACTGAAACATGGTCTCGGTGTGCAACTCAGTGCCTTGATCCTAAGCAGATCTCCTGTTTTTGTGCGCACATGCATCTTGACCTTCCATGAGATGCTGCCCTCTAATACCTTTGTTCTTCTCTCTAAAAGGATAGCCCTATTATAGTATGTTGAAGTGAAAACAAAAGCCACATCTTGTGACATTTTAAGGGCCAAACGTCACAGATAGCCTGTCATTAGAATCTGAAATATTTTCGTATTCTAGAGACATGTTTCAGACAGAGTTTCATACTGAGCAATTACAAACAAAGCCTGTGCTTATCTCAGTCATAATAAAGCAAGCAAAAAAATTAAATTATGGGATGTATAAAAGCCTTGCCATGATAATTAGACCCCTTCAGCTTTTAAGGGGAATTACAGGGCTGTCTCTAATGTATAGTTTGGCCCTAAAACAAACAAATTTAGTATGGCAAAAAGTTGAATAATAAAACCATAGAATAACTGAGTTGGAAGGGGCCTGTAAGGCCATCCACCTCCAGTGCCCCCCCACCTGATGCTTGTATAGATTGCATGTGGCTCAACCACTAGAACACCCATAGATGCTGGTTATGACAAAGAAGTATTCATTACAAATGCATCTACCACATGATCGGAATCCTATGATGACCTGGCACCCACCAGGGAGTATCAGTGGTGACTCCTTAAGCTAGTACAATTCACTGCTGTGATTTATGCTACTATTGCACTTTTGCTACTGTATATAAGCAACAGGATTCTGACCATTAATTGCAAAGTAGGTCAGCACAATTATCCCTGTATTGTATGTGTAGGTCAGGAGAGTTAAGAAAGATAACATTGTGATTTCCTAATTGCCACTTGAGAAAGTGCGGCTGAGGTGCAACTGACTTGCATTTCCTGCCTGGATGCCACACAAACTCTTGAAGGATCCCAGGCCCCTCTGGACTCTGCTGCATACCTGTCCTATCATACATTCCTGCCCAATCATGCTCTGTGTAATGCTTTACTGATAAGAGCTTGTCATTGCCATGCAGTCCCCATGGGAGTAAAGGGGGGGGAGCATTCCAGCAGGGGTCCCATTATAAGATCTTCCTCTTTCTCCTAGTTATCCTTCCAAGGACTCCACACACAAGTCTTTGTGGATTAAGGGACAGGGTTGTTGGGATGGGAAGGATCATGCAGTGTACTTGACTCCAGGGCAGGGACATTCTGGAGAAAAAGGATTTTCCTCCCCAGCCAAGGCTCTTATAATAGGGCTTGATTAGATATGTATCTCCACCCTACTCAACCTGCTTGGTTTCAACTGAGACAGATTCTAGTCTTCTAGGCCAAAGCCAATCCCAAATGTTCTTCATTTAATCCATCACTCCGTAACTAGATTATAAATCCCAGAATCCCAGAGCCATCATCACTTACAGGAGCCTGACATAACCAAATAGACAGCTTTGTCTCCCTCCCTCCCTCCCCTTTATTCTCACAGCAGCACTTACCTTGTAAAGGGTGTGAGGAGCCGGCTGTGAAGGCACCAGACTGATGTGCTTTCCTCTCAAGAGTTCCCTAATCTTAAACTACAGTACCTGATACATCCGCATTACCAATGTGGTTCTCAGTCTGTTCCTGTTTCACCTTCTCTTGCCAGGCAATTTCTATCCATCCATCTACTCAGGTGCTCTCTTTCTCCCACACCGTCCCTTCCTGTACCATTCCCCCAGCCTGGGCATCCCCCCCTTTCTCACTGCCAGTCCTACCCAATCCCCCAACATACACTTCCTGCTTCTCACATGCTGTGGGTCCCTGGTCTGCTCCTGCCCTGCTCAGCAGGCATCTGAGAGCAGGGACTGGGAGTTACAAATGCTTGCAGCTGCTGTCCCCAAAAATACCCTCTGATGACATGACTGGGCTGATAAGCAAGGGGTTGGGGCTTGGCTAAGTATAGACCCCAGCGGGGAGGAGCACAAAGGCATCCGTGAGCCCCAGAGCTGCCAGAGGCATCACCCTCCTTGGGGGAGAAGGGAGAAAAAAGGGTCACTATGGCCTCAAAGCAGGTGGAAGCCTCCCCTATTGGCATCCCCAAGCTGCTTAAAATTTTGTTTCATGTCACATTAAAAGAATAGTTGGTTTAAACTACTGGACAGGTCTGGCATCCCAGGGCAGCCGGTACAGCCCAGAACTGGCCACTCAAAGGCCTGGTCTGCTGACAGTTCTCCCTGGACACTCCACATGAGGCAACTAGGCCAACAAGCCTCCATTTTAATTTTCCCCAGTTCCCTCCTGTAACAATACACTGGAATTGGGGGAAATCAAAATGGCAGCTACCAATGAGCCAGGCTTGGAGCACTGCTGCCAGGTAAGCATGAAGGACCCATCAAGCTAAAGGGGGTGTGTGTGCTGTGTCCAGAGACAAGAAGGTGGTTTGTCCAAAGACTCCCCTCAAAGCTGAACTCACCCTGTTATGTTACTGGATTAACAAACAGAATCAGTTAAAAACAGGCAATGGTCTTAATGGTATAAAGTATTTTAATCATGGAAGAGTAGCAAAGGCAATAGCTGCATCACCCAAAAGAGAAGTGGAAAGGCACAAGAAAACCTCTCAGTAACCAAAACCAATTGACAAGTACTGACCTGTTGAGAGCAGGAGAGCAGTGTTTTTTTTCCAGAGACTGAGTAACTTGCATTCTTTCCGTGTTACAAGCATTATCAAGAAAAAAAAATATTGATACACTACCCACCCACCTTTAGTTAGTTAGTTAGTTAGTTAGTTAGTTAGTTAGTTAGCTAGTTAGTTAGTTAGTTAGTTAGTTAGTTAGTTACTTACTTACTTACTTACTTACTTACTACTTACTTACTTACTTACTTACTTACTTACTTACTTACTTACTTACTTACTTACTTACTTGACTATTTGTAACTTTCCCCATTCCTTTGACCTTTCTTCCCGAGACATCTATTCTTTCCCATGAGGAAATTCTTGCCAGCCAAGCTCTCAGTTAACACACAGCTACGATGTTGTGTGGAATTTGTGGTGGAGGCCCTGAGGGAAATATATGGACCTTGCCATGAGAAACAAAGGGCAGGTTACAGCTTATACTGTCAACAGACTCAAAGTGGTTGTCCCTCCATCTCAGTTGTACTATTTCATCCTACAGTTAGGGGCTCACATACAGTATTGGAAAAAAGGCAAAGTCCTCATTTTCCAAAACAAAATAAATTAATGCATTGTGAAACCTCACACTTCAAACTTGCAACATCCTACCTCAATTGTGGTAGGCTGCTTATTGGTAGAAATGTTTAAACAGATGGGAATGGCCACTAGTAGTGCTTTTTCTGCATTGTCAAGGGTCAGACTAGATGACCTTTGGAACATTTCCAACTCTGTGGTTTTTCTGAGTTTACTGCTTACCTGTACTTTTGAAATAGGTATTCCAGCTAAAGCTCCATTTATTCTGTAATGGCATAAACCCAGATGACTGTTGTGTTGTTGACTAAAGGTAAAGGTTCCCCTTGACAATTTTTGTCCAGTCATGTTCGACTCTAGGGGGTGGTGCTCATCCCCATTTGCAAGCCATAGAGCCAACGTTTTGTCCGAAGACAATATTCCATGGCAATTCCTCAAGAAAACTTGGATTATGCATCCTATGTAAATTTAAATTGTGCACTTCATCTGTAGTCAGATAATCTGGCAGGGCTCTTTGTTTTAAATATGGGTGAATCTGGGGGTGGAGGTGGGGGGAATCCCAGTTGGTTAGTCTCTTATCTTCCCTGAAAGTAGACACTACTACCTGGGAATTTCATTTAATTTTAAACAGGTAAAGGTAAATTTACCTGTAAATTTTTGTCCAGTCGTGTTCGACTCTAGGAGGTGGTGCTCATCCCCATTTCCAAGCCATAGAGCCAGCGTTTTGTCCAAAGACAATCTTCCGTGGTCACATTGCCAGTGCGACTTAGACACGGAACGCTGTTACCTTCCCACCGAGGTGGTCCCTATTTATCTACTTGCATTTGCATGCTTTCGAACCGCTAGGTTGGCGGGAGCTGGGACAAGCAACAGGCTCACTCCATAACATGGATTCAATCTTACAGCTGAAGATCTACAGACCTGACAGCACAGAGGCTTCTGCGGTTTAACCCGGAGCGCCACCATGTCCCCCCAGTGCCACCATGTCCCCCCGTGGTGGGGGGTGTTGTTGACGACCTTCCACTAAAACCTATATATGGCATTCAGGTGCTTCGCTGAATTTCTAGACAATGTAGAAAGGCAAGGTTGATACAGATCCAAAACAGTCCCTGGGTTTCTTGCCCATGGATACTGACAGTCAATGCTAAGGCAATTTTAGCTGCTGTACATGAGGTGCCAAACCTACACTGTACCCATTACCTTCCTTTATTGCCAAACTAGATGAACTCTCAAAAATACAAGTGGTGGGGACTGGGGCAGTTCTATCCTAGTTCATTTTTGTCTCTTTAGCTTTAGGGTCCAGACATCATCTGCACCAGATTTCCCCTTCTGGCATACACTATATAATACTGCCTGTGTGAACCATTTGAGATTGCTCGGATCACTGCATAGTTTTACAGCACAGTGAAATCTAACCTCAGCTGACAGATGCCAAGCAGCAGGACATTCTGAATTCCTTGATACATGCTTGAAAAATTACACTGTTTGGAGTCTCTCCCTCAGTTCTTGGACAGCAGTCCCAAAGACTCGGGTTGAAAGTCAAGCAGTGTGACTGATTGCCAAGCATTCAGATAACCACAAGCCTTACCTGTGTCTTTGGATCCTAGTCACTCCTTCACACATTACAATAGCAGGAGAAAGCATGAACAGCGGATGTAGATTGGCATATGGCAATCACACCTTGATGTTCCATGTAAGTTTGCCAGCTTAGAACACATGAAGCTACCCAGCGCACATTCCTACACAGGACATTTTGAAAAGTGAAGGGATGAAATGAGAAAGTGCCATTCCAACACTCATCTTAGCCATATTAACTCACAAAGTAGTTGAAATGAAAGTACTAAGTCATAGCTCTGTCTTCTCCAATACAGGGGTGATAGTGGTAGAGGGGTTCGTATTTGCCTAGCTGTTGTAAGTACTCCTGAAATAGTTTTGTGAAGTACTTGCAGTACGTCTTTAAAAACACACACACACATGAAGTATGATTATGACTCTTGAACCAGTGCCCTTTGACCGTGACATACAAGTGCAGGATCATCTATGCACCGCTTCTGCACTTTTGCCTACAGGGAAAGTGCTGAGCATGAAGGAAAAGCATAAATGTGAAGCAGCTTTGTAGGTCAGTAAGATCTATAAACCTAACGATCAAGATCCTGTTTGAGAAAGCTGAGAATAGTCCCTTATGTGAGTTTTTGTGTTTGTTCCTAGGATTCAGAAGAGGTTAATCTAGTGACAGAGGACCTCTGAAGGAGGGGGCATGTGCAAACAACCACAGAGTGTAGCCAAAGGCCAGCATGTGGCTCTCCAGCCATTCGGGAAGCAGACACTGTGATGCTAAATCAGCTAGCCTGCAGGAGCTGGTGGGTAGACTGGACATAGCTCAGGCTCTGAAAACATGTCTTGCACGTTGAAGATCCCAGGTTCCGTTTCTGGCATGTCCAGTTCAAGTGGTCTTCTCTTAGGAAGGCTGAAAAAAGACCTCCGTGTTGATCCTAGACAGCTGATGCCAGCCTGAATAAACAAGTAATGAGTTGGATAGACCCATGGTTGAATTAAGAAAGAAAAGGAGCTTCAAAAGTTCATGCTATATTTAGGAAAGGGATATTTTTCTGAATCTAAGAGAGCAGGAGCAGCCACAGATTTCAGTTCATTTTTCTTTTCTTTTATTATATTTTTTTGAAAAGCCATGATCAGGCAAACCCTGGTTCTGAAGAAATCTGATCCGATCCACCATCGAAAAGGAAAGAGTGGGGGAAAAAAGCAACTCCAAGTATGGATCAGGTTCCCTTTAATTCTTTCTAATAATTCCACTAAATTTCCGATGAACAAAACGCATGGGGGGGGGTCTTCTGGCATACCAAAACCTGTGCTGTGCAGCCAGAGGTCCTTTCTTTCTTGGGTGATCTGCATCTCAGTTGAGACTCAGGGATTGGCTGGGGTTGGCGGGATTGAGAAGACCTCAAATCTTAACAACTTGATGGCATTGATTTCCAGGAAGTGACTGACGGGCAGGGGCAGTTTGAAGTGTTGCCCCCTCTCTCAGTACCCCAGTAGTTGCACCCCCAGCCTCTGACAGCAAACCCTCTCTCCCTCGCAGCACCCTGCTCCAGGCCCTGTCCCCTGGGCAGCACCGTCCTTGCATTCCAGACGTCTCCTGTGTTTTGCTGCCCAGGAGATAATATTCATGGCTGGCAGACATTTGCGTCAGTGTCAGATACAGTCTCAATGCCATCCTTCCCCAGCCTGGCTCAGCAAAGGAGGCAGGAGGGAGCTGGGTGGGTTAAGAACAACATAGAAGAACAACTGGACAGTCAGACCATTTCACACGGACATAGGACAACTTCCACATACACACACCAGTTCTTGGACACAGAGACTTAGCCTCCGCTCTTGGGCACATTTACAAAAAAAAGTCACAATCCTCTAGGAGTTTTGTGCACTCCATACATCCTCCCTTTGCACCTGCTGGATCAGAGTCCTTTGCCCACCTTGCCTCCCATCAACCCCATGCTGATGTTGTTGCTGGCCCTGCTCCTGCCTGCTGCTGTTGCTGGCTGCAGCAGGGAAGAGGTGGACAGGCCTCTCATCCTGGCAAAGATCAAGGCACATTTCCTGGAGACCCTTGGTCCTGTTCCCCAAAGTGGAAGGAGCCAGGTGGGGCAGCGGAAGGGGCTCCACAGAAGACATGCCTCAGGTACACCAGCAGCTGGGAGATGGGCAGAAGAGGACACGTCCCAAGTGATTGTCTTTCCATCCACAGGTAAGTCAACCCAGTTCTTGAGGGCTGCTTGGGGGAAAGTTGGGCTGCAACCTCAAGTCCTTAAAAGCTGATCTCTTACTGCAGAAGCTTTCAGCTAGAGGCCAGGCCACTTCATCAGATGCAAGAGCAGTCCTAAGGGAACAGCTGATGGGGCAAGATGTAGGGAGGAAAGGATAGGGGTACCACATCTAGAACTGGTGGGTAGAAGAGGGTATTTCCCTGTTTACATGGCTTTGCATAACCAATTACACTGCTGAAATTCCTTCTTTTATATAATCATTTAAAGGCACAGGTGCCTTGTTTTCTTTTACAGCTAGCTACTCTAGGTCATTCAGGAATAGTTTTTAACATCTGATAGTGTGTACCAGCACTCTCTCTCTTCCCCAGCTCTAGAGATTAATGTGCCACTTTGCAGTCAGGTAAAGTTTTCTCACCATTTTGCTGTTCTTGCGGAGATACAGGTCAGTTTTATCTCGTATTAGTAAGAGGTCCCAATGAGTTTAATGAGATCAACAGTGAACTAAGCGGGCATAGGATTCCATCCTCTCATTGCAAAGCTACATACACTTGGTCCACTGAATTTTGTTAAGATATAAATCCAAACAGGCACACTTAAGATTTTATTGTGATTTTCTAACAAGACTGTAACTTTGTAGACCAAAACTTGTATTGCTGAAGTAAATCCCAACTTTTAGTGACCATTACTGCCAGGTTCTGCATTAGACTATGGCTTTTAAGCATACATTTTGAGCCAGATTTGGGCTTTTCCATGTCAAAACCAGTAGGCTGAAGGGTTTCTCTTTATGTAGGAAATGGGATGTAATGAAGCTAGACAGATAAAAAAATAGGGAATGGAACTTAAATTGTGTAACAGGAAGAAATTACTTAATTGGAGATACGAGAGTTTTCAAACTATTTCCTTCTCTTGCTTTCTCGTTTTAATCCTTTTGGCTAGCCCCTCAATGACTAGTCAGTATTAATGTACAGATGTCAGCTTGTTAAAGAGAAATAAAAATAAGACAGGCATTAACTGTGATTGGATCCAACTTCCTCTGCTGCTGGAACATGCAGACTGTTATGTGTCAGAGTCCTTAAGTGTTTGCTCATCCATACCCAACCAAGATTAATTCATTTAATAAAAAAAGAGCACCTGACGAAATTTTGGATCCCTTGTTCAAGTGTGTTTGTACAAATATTTGTATCTATGACATTTGCCAGGATGTGATTAGGCACGCAGAAGATAGGATTACATGCCTACCTAGGGCAGGGTGGAGGCAGCCATTCGATTTCTGAGAGGCAGTAAAAAACAAGGGAAAATCCAGCTCAGCCACCAGCAAACTTGCTACCAAATCACCTGGCAAATGCTGTAACATAGTTCCTAGATTTTATAGACAAACATTTGACTGCTGTATTGCAGGGGATGAGAATTACTTGACTCCATTGTTGTCGATCACCAAAAACAAAACAAAACAAAGAATACCCACAGCAAGGGCAATGATCCATCCTAATTCCATTTTCCTTACAATTGTATTGTTGTTGTTGATTGTAAGCCGCCTAGAGTGGTCTAAAAAGTCCAGATAGGCGGGATAGAAATAAAATGAATAAATAAATAAATAAATAAATGTGGTTCCTTTTAGCTACAGCATGTGCAGTTTACCCTAGAATAATGGAAGTTGCTCAAGGTAGATGGATTCTTGCCTCAGCACACCTGGCCTCAACTAGAAAGCAGGAACTAAATGCAAGAAGGCTGAATGCAAAGCCACTGAGTTCAGCACTTCAGAGTCTTGAAAATTAGCTTCAGATTTTAAAATGCTCAGTCATGATTGGAGTCTGGAGAATAGAAACATGAGGACACATGCTATATTGTTTGGGTAAGCAGAAACTCGGGTACTCAAGGAGGTATGGAAATCTCAGATTTCATGTTTTTTTTTTTAAAAAAAAAACCACACACTAGCTATTGAGATTGCAAAATGACAGGGAGGAACATGGAATAAATAGGACAGATGCTGGAAGCATATCAGCTAAGGATTTCTATCAGTCATGCTGTCCTTCTGTCTTTGGAGAAACGGTGGCCTATACAACTAGTCCTGAACCTCTGATACTCAAGTTGTTTTGGACTTCAACATCCAGAATCTCCTACATTGGCCGCGCTGGCCAAAGCTTCTGGGAGTTGAAGGCCGAAGCATCTGGAGAACCCAAGGTTAAGCCACTGGCCTGTGTGGTTAAAGCCATGACTAACCCATCTCTTCCTCTGTAGATGTGCCTTGCGGGCCACCTGAGCCTGACGAGCTACCGGAGGAGGAAGGGCTTTTCACCTACATTTTCAAGCCCTCCGCACATACTTTGAGTCGCGTCATCACCTCAGCCCAGCTATGGTTCTACACAGGTCCTGTGACAATGGAGAGCAGCAGCCCCTCAGAGGCAGCATCCAACAGCTCCAGGCCAAAGGCAGAGGTACTCAAGCTCTCAGAACAAGGCCGGATCCCTGTGGCTACCACAGCAGTGCCAGCCCAAGAGGGCTGGACAGTCTTTCACTTTGGAGCCTCCTTCTTCCCTTACATTGCCCAGATATTTGTGTTGTTCATTCATTGCCCTGGCTGTCCCTGTGTGGCTAATGCTGAAAAGATACCATTCCTTGTGATATCCACCAAATCCAAGGTACGTGACCGGGCCCGGCGATCCTCACTGCCCTTGCTACGAGGGGATCCTAGTTTTCTCCAGCTCCTTTCAAGTGATGCTACAGTCCATGCTAATTGCCACCGGGCCTCCATTAACATCTCCTTTGAAGAACTGGGTTGGGACAAGTGGATTGTGCACCCTAGCAGCTTTCTGTTTCACTATTGCCACGGGAGCTGCCCTGACACTACGTTCACACACAGGCCCAACTTCCAACTGTGTTGTGCAGCCTTGCCAGGCACCATGCATCCTCTGCGGGTTCGCACCACTTCAGATGGTGGCTTCTCCTTCAAGTATGAGACAGTGCCCAACATCATCACCCAAGACTGTGCCTGCATATAGCAGACCCAACTTCAGAGGAACAACACATCCCTAAAGAAAGACTTTTGCATGGCTCATTTCACCCCTGGGTGAACAAGTATCATCTCTCATTTGGGTCCACCTGAACTGGTTAAGCATGCAACCTAGCAAACTCAGGTTCGTGCCTTTCTGTATATTGCCCGATGGTGCCTTATGACTCACTCACTCAGTATAAAGACTGCTTAACTAAAGATAGATACAGCCATTCACTAAACGTTTGTGCTCTTCCCAGCCAGTTTTAGGAGTCAAACTACATGTCACATAAAGCTACAGCAACCTTTAAGGCTATAGTCGAGCATAGACACACCAGGACTGGATGGAGAAACTGCTCAGTCTTTTGTCACAGTTTTCATGCAATGAAGACTGCTTCCCAAGCTGTTTTCCCTTCTCAAAAAAGAGAAAACAGCACTAATAGTCTTCCCAAGCCTGGAATCTTCCAGATGTGTTGGACTACATCTCCCATCACCCACCTAACATGATTTTTTTTTCCCTTGCTGACTGGAGGGATGGAATGGAAGCTGCAATCCATCCATCTGAAGGCAACCAGTATAGGGAAGCCTGTGTTATAGAATCATGAAAATCAGTGTCAAAGTGATTTTGAGCAGAAAAACAGCTGAAAATCCTTAGGGGTCTGGATCAACTTTTCTCACCAGAGTCAGACCCTAAGTCTTCTTTCCCATGATCAGAACACCATTTATGGTATATGTAGGACAATGGCTCCCCAGATGTTATTCTTGGATTAAAACTCTCAGAAGCTTCACTACTAGCTGTGCTAGCCAAGATTTCTGGGAATTGTAGTCCAAGAACATCTGGTGCCCAAGATTGGGAATCACTGGTCTAGAGATTTAGTGAAGGAGGGAACAGTGTGGTAGAGATTCTTTAGCTATAGGGATGCAAAATGGCAGCTAGGAGAGCTAGCCCAGCTCTCCTCCTTTGAGTTACTACTATAAGTTGCACAAGTATCTACAGAACACCAGCCAGAATAGAATTTTACATGAAAATACAGTGTGCTTGTTTAGCCTATCAAGCTTGCTCTCTCCTTATCCACACAGAGCTCAATTTGATCCACATGGACAAACATGCAGCCTTAGAGGTTCTGTCCTTAGAGTTGGTCAAATAAGGCAATCTAAGGCTCTGCCTTTTCCCCACAAGAAACAAAACCAGGAGAACTATGTCCTGGTCTAGACAAAGCAGAAGTTGCTGCAGTTTTCTCTCGCAGAATTCATCACAATTCAGCTATACCCCTGGCCTCCAGCAAGCAACAAGACACATACACATGGATTCATATGTCTGTTTCGTTAGCAATACTAGTTCTAATCTTTCCCCCTTACTTTTGAGATGAGCCTGAAAGTATTGGATTGGAGCTGGAGTAAGAAATGACACAAATGGAATCCAATCAAGATGGGTTTCCTGCCCAAAATCTGTAGTTTGTAATGCTCCTATTAGAGCAATGCCAAGGGTCTGTAGGGCAGGCTCTTCAATAGGACCCGGATCTTTTTGGTCAAGGACATGGCCGCAAAAAGCAATTGGCAAAGTCCAGCTCAGGGGCTGGAGGTGCTTCTCAGCCAGGCACTGCAACCAACATGCAGCGTTTTAGGGTAAACTTTCCATCCACAGAAGAATTGCCCCTCCTATTGAAGCAGGGTGATGGCAGTGGCCCAACTACTCTTGCAGTTCTGAGCATTACAGATGGGTGAAGGCCTGGGGTGCATCCGAAGTTCTCCCAGCCCTCCAGCCAGCCCTTGAAGGCTTGTAATGAGGACACAGTGTAACAGCCAAGGAGTGTAGGAGTCTTCTTGTTTTGTGAAACTTTGCATTGTAATCAGCAATTTAACTGTAAAAAGGCTAATTATTATATTGTTTGAAAAAACAATAGAAGTTAAATAAACATTGTTTTTTAAAAATTAAGATATCAATCCTTCTCAACAGTTTTTTAAAAAAATCATGCCTGTCCCAAAATATCCAGCTTACTTACTCTATTTATATGTTACTGGGGGCAGGAGGGCAAACTTGATTCTCACTTGGCTTCATGTGTGATTGTTATAGAATTCTTGCAGGCATACAGAAATATTTAGATAGGTGCAAGACAACAGCTCTGGGATCCTCAGATCCACAGCTCCTCAGATCCAGGATAGCTCTGGGGAGCAAACATAAGGAAAATAATGTGCGCCTTGGTGATGGGTTCTGTGGCTGTAATATACGGTCATGATCAGCAGAGGGCATCAAAGTATCCAACACAGACAGCCAGAGAACTTGACCAGATTTGCCAAGTTCATAAAACTTCTCTCTCCGGAGCATCAGCTGCAGCAGGAACGAACAGACTGGGTGGCTTTCCAATTGTTGTTACATTGCAGCTTCTTTCAGCCCTAGACAGCATAGGCAACAGAGAAGGATGAGGGGCAGCCTTAAAGTGGGGGAACAGGAGGCAAAGATAGTTTCTCAGTACAGCAACACTCACCACTATGGTGAGCAATGCTGAATTAGCTAGAAGACGGTTGCACCCCCTCCCCCGGTTCTTCATTGATGCCTTTAGCAACAGCTTCTGATTTTTTTATTATTATTATTTTGCTGCATGAATTATTATGCAAATACTGCACTGTTGGAGATTTATGATAGTCTGCTCTGATTTTTTGTTGTTATTTTATGATTTTACTGCTGTTTCCTGTGTCTCGGTGATTTCTTTGGCTAGATTATTCCCATTCCACTGGCTTTAAACAACACCTCAACACTTTCAACAACCGAATTCAGCATTATTCCCATTCAGTGTGACAAAGTTGAGGAAAGATACTGTTTCCTAAATGTGTCCCACTAAATCAAACTAAATCAATCCTTGCCTCTGGAACAACCTACCTCCTGAGATTCGTGTGGCTCCCTCGCTGGGTATCTTTAAAAATCAACTTAAAACATGGATGTTTCGGCAGGCCTTCCCTCCAGTCAATCCCCGATGTCCTTTTTATCCCTTCTGTCTATTCTATTATGTCTATTTTATGTAAAATTGTTTTTATATACATTTATTGTTCTATTTTATGCTGTTAGCCGCCTAGGGTGGTCTTAACCGACCAGATAGGCGGGATATAAATAAATAAATAAAATAAATAAACTTCTTAATGCATTTCAGCTATTTATTTCAGTCCTTCAGAGAAGTTTCCCAGAAGTCCTAAATCCGCACACCCCTCTGGCCTTGCTTGGCCTGCACACAGCACTAGTCCAACAACAGTCCCACCACCTCTCTATGGAGACAAGGGTGGGCGTCAAGCATTCCCTCTCTTGGCCCACAATCTCAGTTCCCAGGCCAAATGGCAAGTGAGCGCACTTTGCCCTGGCTGCTTTTGGCCGTGAAATGCTGACTTCCAATTAAATCCACTTCCTCCTTGAGTCTCATGTGTCTGTCATATCTTCCACGTATAGGGAGCAAAGGATACCCCTATGAGATCATCTGTGATAGGTGGAACCATATACACACACCACTGTCATGGCAACAAGGCAACAGGTATCTGACTGATCACTGTAACTCCTTTTTTGAAGCCAGCCACCCACTGAGAGAATGAGTGTCCTTCATTAACCTGACTACTAATTTGACTTGTAGCTCCTTAGAATATATGGCCAGAGGGGATTAGCTACTGCATCTCCCACCCCTTTCCATGCCTTATTAGTGAGAGGCGTATTTAGCCAAGACATCCAACTGGCAAATAATTGTGTTAAACCCCTCCCTCTTCAGCCACCACAGAAAGAAAAGTCACAATCTCAACATTCCTATAAAACAATCCTTGGATTTTTACCAAATATATATATTCATATAAAAGAGATACAACTTTGTAACTATTCCAGTAAACCATATAAAAAGGAAAAAAATACAAATGCATTTCATGTTGATCTCTGAGATGATCCAACTGTGGAGGGTCCCACTGCAATTCATATGAGAACCCAATACTGCACCCCACAGAGGGCAGGAAGGCAGACACTGTCTACGAAACAGCATCTTGGAATGTAAAAGACTTCTTTGGCCCGACCACCAATCTCTTCTATAAACTGCCGCTGGGGGGGGGGGCGAGCAAAAGAGGAGGCCACAGTGCCCATCTATCTCTTTGGAGAGAAATCTGAGTTGTGGACCCCTCCTTCTTCTCTCACCTGCTCACTCCCCACTCCATATAGTAAACTTCAACAGGAAATAGAGATGGGGAGGCTGTCTCAAAGCTACCTAAAGTCCTTCTAGAGAAAAACAGATTTTTTTAAAAAAAATCCTAGACATACAAAATAGTACCTCTACAACACATATAAAAGTAAAAAAATAAGTTTCCCTTTTAGACCCTTAAAAAACAAAGACATACACTCATTTACGTACACAGAGCTAGACCTCTGAAGGTACCCCACTACAGCTTCCCACCCTCTGAAGGCAGGAGTATGGAGGTTAGCCCCCATTCCCTACTCTTGCCCTCAATCCACAAGATCAGAGTCCATCCACATTCCCCCACACAGTCTGTCAGGGCATTTCCAAAGTTCAGACGAGGAGCACACATTCATATGCTGCCAATTCTCCACAAGACAGTTTCCTGTTGTCATCTTTGCTACTGCCCAGTGAGACACAGTGAGGCTTCAGAGGCCTGGAAAACAAAGGAAAAGTACATTTGTTTTTTATTCCAATCCTGAAGGAACAGCTCTCATCCCCTTACACATACTGTACATTATCGCCCTGGTCTTATTGGTCACCCTTCTGAAGATCTCTCTGTTCCCTCATGCATTAGGTGGCAACTGGGTTCCACCAGAGTCCCACACATCTTTAGTTCATATCCTGCTTTACATTTCTATTGTTACCAAGACTTCCTGTCCTTTGCTCACACCAAATGAAAGGTGAATGTTTTTTTTTATCTTTGCTTCAGATTACCTCCCCGGTCCCAGCAGTCACTCCCTGATTGCCAAATTCTGTAAGATACTTATACCTGGACCTCAGCCACTAAGTCTGTTATTGTCTATGTTCTAGCCAGCCAAGTGACAATAAACCAAAACTGTCACGCATTCATTGGAAGGATATGAACCAAAAAAGGAATATCCTCAGAATGCCGGTAATCTTGTAGTCTATTTTATTTTCTTAGTAGACACAGTCCTAATTTATATTACATTTATAACTTATATTGAATTTAAAGTTTAATAAAATGTAATAAACTATTTAAATTCAATTTAGTTTCTGAATGTAGTCGTAGACACACTATTAAAAGTTAATTTGGGTAAGTAAATATAGTAAGGAATTCAGGGACGTTCCTGGGATTATTTCCAAGGTTTACAAGCACATTTACAAGGTGTTCTTTGGGATAAATCTGCATCTGTAAATAAATTAATTACTGGGAATTTGGACATCCTGGTTCCCTGGTTATATATAATTGGTTTTCAACTCTCTTTTTATTCTCAATCAATTCAATTTCACTAGAAAACTAAGTAGTGGTTTTTCATTATAATTCATTATATTTTACTATAAATTCATCCATACTGTAAAGAAAAAGAATAATGTGGTGTATTTTTAAGTGACCTATGTTCTTCATTTATTAAAATGTGTCTTAAGTATTTACTTTTAGCCTCTGAGAAAGGTTGTGAAAATAATGCAACACCTCTGAGCAAATGGTACTTGGATGTAATCCTTCTTTCCAGGACTCACTGGAACTCACAGCCCAAAGAAAGCAAAAAGCCAATGTGCAACTATTGCAATTTTGAGCCTTGCCCCCTTCTGCAACAGCAAAAAGGAAACTGGCCAGGGTCGTAGATTCTTGCCCACACAGAGCAGAATCAATTACCATAGCAAGGATACTAGCGCCTGCTTCCAAAGCAGATGCAGGGGGCCACTGGGCTGCCAGACCTTCTGGACACCAGTTTCCATCTTAGCTAGTAGTAAGAGATTATAGGAGTTATGGTGTTAAAAGAACATCTGGAGGGATAAGGTTCCCAAACTGTGGCCCAAAGGAAAGTCTTTTCTTCACCAAACTCACCAGTTGTTCGCTCACAGGCAGCACCTTCCTTCTCATGAGCCAAGTTGAGCCGGTTCTGTTCTGCGGCCAGCCCATTAGACTCAGGGCTGCTGCTACGGGAGGGGCTGGCAGTGTCCTCTGGGTGCAGATGGAAAGCCATTTCTAGGTGCTCCTGTGCCAGCCTGAGGTGCTTGCGCAGTCGCTCCAATTCATGGCTTGGGAGGCCAGGCCCAACAGCATAGCGCTCAGCAGCCATGCTGGCCAAGCCTTCTCCCCTGTATGTCAGCTTGTCCTTGGCCAGCTGGCCCTTAGAAGGCTGCTTCTTGATGGAATGATAAGTAGGGGGCGCCGTGGGATCTTTCTGTGCATACTGGGGCTTGGGAGGGACACCGCTATCCTTATCAAAGCCACGGAGAGCGTCAAGGATCCCACCAAAGCCCAAGTGGAGTAGTTCACAGATATTGAGCAGCAGACAAAGCACACTCACTGCATACATGATATAAAGGAAGATGGTTTTCTCAGTGGGGCGGGAGACAAAGCAATCCACAGTATGGGGGCAAGGACTGCGAGAGCATATATATGAAGGGTTCACTTCAAAGCGGTACAGGATGTACTGCCCCACCAAAAACGCCACCTCAAATGCCAAACGGCATAGGAGCTGCAACACATATGCAGCCATCAGCCCATCCTGCTTGATGCGCCGGCGGCCATCATGTTTCTGATTCTGGGGCTCCTTCACCTCTGTCTCTGGCTCGACCTCCTCAAAGATCATGGGGTCCTCCTCACCATTGTCCTCAGCCTCTTCATAGTCACGAACAGCCCCACGTGTCACCACTGGTGCTCGTTTTTTCCGGGGAGGCTGGCGCGAGAGTCGGTGTAGCGCAAAGCCCAAGTACAAGACAGACGGTGTGGCTATCATGATGATCTGGAAGATCCAGAACCGCACATGCGAGAGGGGGGCATAAGCATCATAGCAAACGTTCTCACAGCCAGGCTGTCCGGTGTTGCAAACAAACTTGCTCTGTTCATCATAGTAGATGGACTCGCCACCCACAGCAGTTAAAACAATGCGGAAGACAATCAGCACAGTCAGCCACACCTTTCCCACAAAGGTTGAGTGCTGGTTGATCTCCTCAAGGAGACGTGTCAGGAAACTCCAGCTCATCTTGGCTCAACTGCGTCCTGTGGCCAATAAACACAGTAGGGAAAAGGTTAATCTGAAACAAAAGTCATCATGATTCCTCAAGCCTTAAAGTAATGGAAAAACACAGACTTTTTTTTCTTCTTTTCCACCCCAACCCATATACAGAAAAATGTAGGAAGTGTATGTGTGTGTGTCGGAGGAGAAATACAGCTAATTTTCTTATCAGATCTCAACTTTGGTTTTTTTTTGCTACTTAAAGAGCATGAAATCAGCAGGCAGAGTAATCCTATGATGTTAGTGAGATTCCATAGTAGAATGATTCCCACATCCAGCATTCTACTGGGCCAATGTAGACAGGATATGAGATACATTGCCTTTGGCACCCCACCTAGCACAGGGAGGGCATTAAATGCACCAGTTCTGGAACTAGCATACTTTCTTGGGAGACAAAGGAGGCTCAAGATCCTGTGGATCTGAAAGCTTTTCCTTCTGTGACAACTCCACATCCCACACTATTGGTGAGACCATGACAGAAGCTTTCCAGCACTACAAATGGAAGGATGGGCTTTTGGTGGGAAGTCTACCCTTTTGTCACAAGGCCGGCCTCTCTCTCTCTCTCTCTCTCTCTCTCTCTCTCTCTCTCTCTCTCTCTCTCTGCTCAAGGCACAGCACTTCTGCCACATCTGATGCCTTCCTGAGCTGGCCCACCTGGGCAGCAGAGGCTCAATCCCTATAGGGGAGTTAGCATTTTAGCCATGTCCTGTTTGGTTGTTGTAGGTTTTTTGGGCTGTTTGGCCATGTTCTGCAGGGTTTTCTTCCTAACATTTCACCAGTCTCTATGGCCAGCATCTTCAGAAGACAGGAGTCAGAATTCTGTGTTCTGGCTCATGAGGTTCTACTCCTATCCTTTAAATATGCCAGCCACAGAGACTGGCGAAACATTAGGAAGAAAAACCTCCAGAACATGGCCAAACAGCCCGAAAAACCTACAACCACCATCGGATGCCGGCTGTGAAAGTCTTGGAGAATACAATGTCCTGTTTCTTCAACCTATGAAGTGTTTATGCCATGAAATCCTTATCACATCATCTAAGCAATAATATATTAATGAAAATACTATCATATCAAGTTTCCTTTCTCTGCAGTGTAATGTAGCAGTTAGGGCAATGGGCTGAAACGTGGTAGATCCAAGTTCAATAATCCACTAAGCTGGTGATTCTCAACCTTGGATTCCAGAACAATTGTGAGGACACAATGAGGAAAAACATCATGGGTTGAAAACAATGATAATGACAACAGTAAGAATCAATATTTGAAAGATCTATAGTTTCAAATGGAGAATTTTCATTTCCATACCCAAGAATTTTACAAAGTCTGAACAGACTAAGCTTTCTCTTCCTAGTTTGTTTCTTCAGTGTGTACATTTTCACAGTAAAATCAATTGCTTTCACATTTTACAGAAAATGAGAGGGCAAGATTCCCAAGTCTTCAATATTAAGAAGCAATAAATACCTAGTACTATACATTGTCATAAAAATAATGGAAATGTTGAAAGAGTACAGGACAGCTAAAAATTTATATATTTTTTCAAATAAGCTTTAAAAAATTTCAGTGTTACAGCAGCGACAAAATATTTTGTCTGCATGAAATATGCAGATGGGAGGGTCCTACAGTTTTTCCACTTAAAAATGAACACAAGTATAGAAAAATAAGCAGTTCCAATCTACTCATGACCCCCACTCCCTGCTTGGGTTTTGCATATGTAACCTTGAAAATGACTTCACAAAAGCAAATAATAGTTCACTCCAAACTCCACCCACAATAAATGAGTTTTAGAAATGCAACCTCCACCACATGGCCTTCAGTGAGAGCAACTGAGAGCAACTCCCAAAATACTCTTGGGGAGAAATACAGACCAATGTCACAGAAACACATACACACAAAACACTTTACAACTTGTGGGTGGGGTGTTCAGGAATAGTTTTTGACACAGGGGAAGGCTACTTTTCAACACCCCGACTGAATCTCCATCCCAGAAAGTATTATTCATTGCACAAGGGAAACAAACATGCGTCATCAGATGGGTCCGTGTTGACCGAGGACCTAATCCAAACTACACCCTATGACTACCCTTAGTTCCTTCCTCCACAACATCAGGAGATTGATTTACATCCTGCTGGGTTTGATCAACTTGGTCCGCGGTGAAGTCCCCCTTCCAGAAAGGCCACAGTTGACCCACTGAGCGATTATTTTTGAAACTGCCCTTGGCCAGGCCAGCTGGAGAATTCTGTGAATTGTATGTCTACAAAACAACTTCTCCAAGCCCTGCACGTATTACACATACACACGCCTGACAGAGCTAAGGGGAAGTCAGGGTGACCGAGTGCAGTTCTGAGTGCTGTAGTCCCAAAATGTAACTTATCCAGGCTCTGCACATATTACACATGACGGAGGTGAAAGAAAGTGGGGATAACTGTTAGCACAACCTATTGAGCTGGTTCTTCTGTCCCTCCACAGAAGGCTCCTCCTTTTTCACACTGAGATCATTATCCGTTCAGAAGGTCTAGCAGGGCGGCTGCCTCTGGGACACAACTAAAGAGGCTGGTCTCAACCTTTGGATGGATGCCACGTCCTGGTACACTGGGATGGGTTTGACGCTCCAGTGCCTGCACACAATAAGTATCCTGAAGTAAAGGAGGAAGGAGGAATCCATAGAATGGCTGCCACACAGCAGCAGCAGCAGCCTTGAGGCACAAACCTGTGGTGTTTACAGAAAGCTTGTTTAGGAAGAAAATGGTCGGGGCCTCAACTACCTCCACTTACCGTTCCCATCTCCCAGTGTAAAGGCTGCAGGATTTCCCCCGTTTACAGTTCTAAGCATCCTACGTACAACATACCTCAGCTTACAGAGATTAAGTACAGAGAAGTGCTTTAGTTCTACACTACTCAAATAACAGGTTTTCGTTAACAAGAGCATGTAAAATGCCCCTCAAGCAACATATTCAGCAAAGTCACTGGGGACATGTATCAACAATTTCTCTGTCTATCTACCAGAAGCAGACAGATATCATTGGAAAAAGAGAAGAAGGCACCATTCCTCTAAATCCATATAAACCTAGAGTGGATAATCTGTTTTTGTTTTGTTTTTTTGGTACCACAATTCCATTCCCACCAGTTACACTGGATAGACCTGATGAGAGTTGCAGTCCAAAATCATCTAGAACAGTGGTTCTTAACCTTGGGTTACTCAGGTATTTTTGAACTGCAACTCCCAGAAACCTCAGCCAGCACAGCTGGTGGTGAAGGCTTCTGGGAATTGCAGTCCAAAACCACCTGAGTAACCCAAGGTTAAGAACCACTGATCTAGAAGACAGTAAGTTGTCTACCTGGTATAAAGTAATGGCAAAGATAAGCATCAAAGATTCTTAAGACTGCAATCCTATACTGTACATATGAACCAGTGTGTAAGTCCTATGGAAAACAACAGGCCTTATTTCTCAGTAAACACACACACACATACTTACACTGTAAGAATCCTTAAAAGAGAAGTTCTGAATTGATGGGGCAGTGCCTCTTATTTAAACTACCAGCACCAGCACTTCACACAAATCTGCCCTCTACCATGCAAAATAGGCTCCCAGAGACAAACATCCTTATCAGTGGTTATCCAGAAGGAGATCAAAAGAAAGTCAATATGGTGCAGTGATAAGGATGTAGGACTAGGACTTGGGACACCCTGGTTCTAAGTCCCTGTTCAGGCAAGAAACTCACTAGGTGACCTTGGGCCAGTTGCTCTCTCTCACTGTGACCTCTCTCACCTGGCTTTTGTGAGGAAAAAGTGAAAAGGACAGCCATGAACACCGCCTTGAACTAATCAAAAGGCAGGATTTCAATGACTCTGAGACATTGACTTCCTTCCCCAAATTAAGAAATATTTTGCTTATTAATAAAGAGAGTTAACACCTGATGAATCATCAGGGGTCAACCACAGCTTATCTTATGCCCCAATTTGGCCTCAGCTGAAAGCACACTGGCTACCTGAAGCCAGATAGCTTTATGCCTTTGATATGCCACTAAATCCAGTTGACTAGCCACATATGGACACAGAAATATTAGACATTGGTCATCCATAACCAGCAAGATGACGATCAGTAACAGACAAGGTAACCAGAAATGCACACCTGGAATTCTATTGTCCCTCTACGCTCCCACAATGCTCCACTATGTGCAGTAGAGGTGTTTTTTTTAAGAATTTGCAGAAGGAGGTACCTCCTTACACAAGCATAACTCCTGTTAAAAGCAAAGGATGTGATCTGTGGTTTGCTCAATAGCTGGGTTGGAGATCACAAAACACAGGAGTGGAGTGTTATCCCTTGTGTACAGTGCAAGAAGATTCCAGCCCAGATGTCTTCCAAGGAAACTTATTTCCTGCAGCATAAACTGAATGGAGAAACATATCCAAGAGCACAAATAAAGATGACCAGACTGTGAGCAGAAAACAGTATAGAGCCCAGACTGTATCTTCTTCGTTCTTGGCTTCTTGCCCCTTCCGAATTGCATGATCCCGAGATAATGTAATTTGGGGCCTAGGAAGCTGGATTCTTTGAAAACAGTAAGGCTTTCTAAAATGCCTGTGAGGTGGGGTTAGCTAGAACAACATGTGCATTTCCAACTCTCCAAATCTTGCTCAGGGTCCAGACCTAGGGTGCTCCCTACACAAAGGATACAGACTAGGACTCAGAAGTGTTTTCCATTTGGTTCCCAATCTTACGATTCACTATGTGCATACAACTTGTTTGGTACGTTATGCTTCCTTACAGAAGTTTCTTCTCACTTCAACTACTTTCACATAATGTTTTGTACTCAAATAGCAAGTGCACACTAAAAATATATTCATAATGTACCAACTGTCAGGGCTACATACATGCAAAATTATTCACACAATTCCTCCAAGCAAAAACCCAGTTATTTCCTGTGCTCACCTGTATTATAAAGCAAGGTTGGCAGAATGTAGATCTGGATTTACTCAGAAAAATCTGTGGGTCTTTGGCTCCCAACTGCAATCACTCCTTGCATTCAGAGTAAGTTTGTAGGCTCAGAATTCTTTTGATTTTTATGTATTTTGCAGGAGGCTCCAGGCCAGAGTTCTGGAAAAGCAGGTCTCACGGGCCTCAGTTCTGCTCACCCCTGTGTTTTAAAGTAAAACTCTGTTATTTCCACAAAATTACTCAGCTACATTCCGTCCCCGTTCCCCCCCAAACACTAGAAAGAATGTAATACGAGAAGCAGAGCTCAGTCTGAATAGCACCACAGTTTTGAAGAGCCGTTAAGAGCTTTTAGGACTTCCTTACTGCAGTTAACAGACTGTACTTTGTGTGAACAGACTTTCTCATTCTCATATATACATACATATGCATGCATCTAGTCTGCCCAACCTTAAAATAAAATTTGACTCAGGAAATTTTGCAATCAGTCCAACTTTTGCTGACGGGGAGGCTGGAGTGTTTTGCAAGGCTTAAAGGTTCTCATACAGGACAGCCAGTAGTACAGTTATACCAATGTGAAAGGGCCCTAAACACACTCCTATTGCCATCATCTCTTCATTCATCATCAACAGACAGGGCCAGACCAAAACATTGTGCTGCCTGAGGCACAGCAATACTGTACATTCAGATGTACACACATTTGTCTGCATCCACCCAAAGTCAAGGTATTGCGAGTCTGCCCAGTTATCTGGCACACGAGGCAGATAATCCCAGAAGCACCTTTCCTCTCCCAGGCAGTAAAAATGCAATCATAACAAATTAAACAATTAACCATCTGACACCCAAAATATGTTGCCCTGGGCAGGTAGGTGTCTTGCCCTGCTTAAAAGTAGGGCAAGGCTTTACAGAGGCTTTGCAGCATGCTGCAAAGCGCAGCAGCAATCTTAAAACAACATTCTGTCTGTCTGAGGATACTGGAGGCTGTAGTCCAACATATCTAGAGGGCATTCTATTGAGGAAAGCTTGACTGGTCTCCTGGGGTGGCTGAGGTTAGTAATATAACAGAGGTCTCCCAGGTAGATTCACAAAAGTCAATAAACGGTATAACATCTTTTATCAACAAAATACTGGTATCTGCCTCTTTCAGCACATAGCGCGAAAACAAAAACAAGCAAACAAAAAGTCATGAACAAAAGGGCAGTAAAACCTTAAAGGCGTAATAGCTATGTCAATGTGAGCGTTTTGGCTTTCATAGAAGGAAGAGGAAATGGGCTGTGATCCATCAGCACTCACCCTAAAATAAATATTCAGTCTTCCAAGACACCACTACCCTTTTGTATTGATTTTCACTACACATGTTGTTATATCCTGTAGTTGAAGCCAGATGCATATAAATTAAATAAATAAATAAATATCCTGTAGTAGCCCTCTGCACTTAAGGACAGCCTGAAAGGAAGGATTATTTTCTTCCAAGTTTATGGAGGCTTCCTTGTCTGGACTTTACAAATCTGTATTAAAAGGGGATGAGATAAAAGCAATCTGAAGATATGACAAAGGACTGGAGTAAATTTCTCCTTTCCCCAAAGTTTGGTCATGCTTTCAAGAAACAGCAGAGTTGACCATCAGAGTCCTCTGGACAATTTTGCTGCATTGATGCCTGGCAATTTCTAGCCATCTCCACACTAGAATGCAACTCCCATCCTTTCTCAACCATTGGCTTTGCTGGCTAAGGCTGATGGAAGTTGTAGTTCATTCACCAGGTAAAACTATTTATTTGGTTTTAATCTGACTTAAAGTGACTCTGTTAGAGGCAGAATATGTTCCTGGGCATTCTTTCCTCCCCTAGCGTGACTCTGTTAGAGGCAGAACATGTTCCTGGGCATTCTTTCCTCCCTTAGCCAAAAATAAATTCTTTGAATTTCAAAAAGGCAATTGAAGGGGGAGAGAGCAGATTGCCTGTGACTGTCCTCTGTTTTAAGAGAAGGGCCATAAATTCCAAATTGCTAGTAAAGGGGGAGGGGGCAGATTGCCTGTGACTGTCTTCTGTTTTAAGAGAAGGGCCATAAATTCCAAATTGCTAGCTGAGGAGGAACTTGAAAATAACTTGCATACTGCACTATCTGCATCTAAGAAGCGAACCTGGCTTCAACATCATCAGCCACGTGAATTTCGGACATTAATAACAGCATACAAATTGAAACTACCCACAAGAACTTAATGCACAGCCTTGAAGAGAAGATGTTTTGTCACTGAAAGCTCGCTGTTTGTTTTTTGTTTTTATTATATATTATAACAAGTTTCAAGTTTGAAGTCAGCTGGCAACACCCGTCAAGAAACCATGGGTTCACATCTGGTGGACAACTGCATAAACCAGTGGGTCAAAGAATAAACAAGTTGAAACTACCCACAAGAACTTAATGCACAGCCTTGAAGAGAAGATGTTTTGTCACTGAAAGCTCGCTGTTTGTTTTTTGTTTTTATTATATATTATAACAAGTTTCAAGTTTGAAGTCAGCTGGCAACACCCGTCAAGAAACCATGGGTTCACATCTGGTGGACAACTGCATAAACCAGTGGGTCAAAGAATAAAGTACCTCCTCAGGTCTTGACCAGTGTTAACACAGCTGGACACACAAAAACCTATGTTGAGGACTGAGCCTCAGGCATCTGTCTACACCCACATCACCATAACATCCTAATTTGTCAATTTAGGGATGCTGGGAAGCTGGCCCAAAATTCAGTTTCCTGATCGATTAACCTTTCTAGTGTGTATCCATCAGCACCTAAGAAATCTCAAAATATCATGCATGGCTAGTCACGGGAGGCCAGAATCTGTTATTTTGTCTTGGAATACACATTTATCCCTGTACTTTGCTTGCTCCTAGTAACCCTCTCCCAAATTACTGTATTCCTATTCACCGCACAACTGGAACTGGAAAACTTGAGTATCAAACTGACACATACATACAGTATTCAGATGTCACTTTAATTCACCCATCTAGCACCATACCGACGACCATCCAACACGAATCTGCTACTCCCCCCTCCCTTATTTTGTGTGCACAAAGACTTATTTGAGACTGTGACTGTGCGCAGGGTTATCCAGATGCTACCCTGCTTCCCCGAAAATAAGCCCTAACCTGAAAATAAGCCCTAAGGTGTTTTTTGGAGCAAAAATTAATATAAGACCCTGTCTTATTTTCGGGGAAACACGGCAGTTAATTAACCGGGAGTGCTGGCCTAATCTGGCGCCATTGGAGTGGGACTTTGAGTAAGGGGGAGGGCGTGTTACCGGTGCCCGAAACGGTGAGCAGTACGTGGATTAAAAGCGAAGCCTTATACACAAAGAAACTAAATTATTCAAACTGCACAACGTGAGACCCTACTCGAAAGCCTCCTCCTTCCTCCATTCGCGCTCCTTCCCTCCAAGGTTTGATCGGTGGGCTTTAAAAACGCCCCCCACCAAGAAACCTAAAAATGAGAAGGGCCCTTGCGGGGTCGCCTTGCTCTCTCCGATCCTATGAAGCCCCTCACTCCCCACTACTACTACTCCTCTCCCCCCCTCCCTGCCAGCAAACACACACACACAATCTTAGAGGCAAAGGATTTCCGAAGGCTCCACGCGGGCTGAGGTCGGAGCTCGCCGCCAAAGAAAGGCGGACACGATCACCACCCCCGCCAGAGCCAGACCCGAACCCGAATTAACGTCGCCGCCACTACTACTACTACTACTACCACCACCACCACCACCCCGTCGCTTCTCTCCGGCTACTTACCGTGCAATCCCCCGGCGGCGCTCACAAAGACTCCCGCCCGC